CCTGCAACTACACCGCTGTGTTGACTTGACATCGCTCTAGCACCGTCTGTACAAACTCCGACGCATTTTATCCAGTCGATGCCATTCTCTTCGATAAATTCATTCAGAAGCTGAAATATGTGCTCTCCTGTAGTTCCCGTTGGTAGAGGCTTACAGAACAGAAAGTCCTCATGGGACATGCTCTCAAACCCGTATCTAACTTAAACGAGCAAATTGCTCAAATCAACAACATTCATAGAGTCTATAGATCTAATTGTAGTGAAAAACATCTGCTCATCTTAACGCGCTCTATCAGCGTTTGCCATATCAATAATTCTATGAGTGGCTGTGTCTTCTGGAGGGGGCAGCAGGTCAAGCTGTTCAGCAGCTTTTTCTCCACACATAATAGTGTCAGCTGTTTGGCAATGGTAAACAAAGTACTTCACAAGTAGTTTGGGGCTTACCTGGTTTAGCAATTGGCAAACTTGCATTTTTCCCCTTTTCCATTTCAGGAGTTTGTCTCAGAAGTTAAAAGAAGTTTTATTTCATGCACATGGGAGCAAAACACAGAGATGCTCTGTGGTTTTTTTCTCAAATTAATCTTAAATATTTTTCTATCATGCTTTCCTGTGCTCACAAGATTGCCAGCATTCGTAGTACGCATTTCTATGCTTTCCTGTGCTTATAACATTGGCATTGTTCCAAAATCACGCACATTCTCCTACCTCCCTATTTGCTGGAGATAACTTTTTTAAATACAATTGGTCACTGCATTTGTAGCACGAGTTTGTGAGGACCTCGAGTTGACCTCAGAGGAGGTCATGAAAAGACTGAAGTGTGAGGGAATGAGACCTATATGGTGACACCAAAGGCAGTGTATTTGGAGAACAGGTCTCTGAGGTTGGAATACTGGCAGAGAAGAACTCAGATCACCTTAGTAAAGTTAAAATTGAGACAGAACAAGAAAGAGAAAATTGTCTGGAGGTTTTCTCACCTGAGCCTTGGGTCTTAGAGATTCCCTAAAAAAGGGATATAAAAGACAACACTGCTCTTGGAGGAGAATAAATGTGAGAGTAGAAAATAAATACGAAAAAGCTGTGATGGATGTATCATCAAGGACTCACCTGGTTCACACCCTTAAGTGGCTGCCACACCACGTGGCATCACAATCCATTAACCAGTTCTCAAACCAAAGTCATGCATTCCTTAAAATGCTTGCTGCCTATAATTTGAGAATTTGTCTTTTATCTGTGCCCTAATCAAAAGCCTTCTGAAAATCTAAATACACAATATCCTATATTCTGTGAGTCTATTACGTTTCTTGCATATTCAAAGACCCCTGACACATTAGTTAAGCAAAACCTACTGTTCCAGTAGGGGGGGTGTCTTGATGGGTCAGCACCTCCCTCTTCCTGCAACACCTCTGGGTGATCAATATAAGAGGACTGGTATGATGACGAATCTACAGCAACAGGTTTGGGTGATGTAGATTTACTCTTGAATGTGCTGCAACACCAGCTGATTAAAAAAAAAGAACTACAAGATGATAGTCTGCTTCTACTTAGTTCGCTTAACCCTTTTGTACTTCAATGTATGGCCTTCACAACACTTTCATATATACCTTGCTTGAAGTTAAGACTTCGTAAAGGGATTGATCCCCATAAAGAAGTCAGTGAGCTCTGAAGCAAAAAGCATCCCTATGGCAAGATCATCCTAAGCTTTACTATTAGATTCTCATTTTCTGCCTTCATTTTTAGAAACTTTCCTCATTTCTTCCTCCTTTAAAGTGTGGGTCCAGAAGTTCAATAATGTCTTCAAAGACTTCAGCTCACAATCATTGTGCAGCACCCACATTCCTCTTCACTTTTGAACAAAATCTTAAAAATTCATTTATTGCAGCTGTCCACAGTTTATACATTATCCATTATACGAGTATATTATACAAGTAGTTTACACAAGCATGCATTAAAAGCTGAATGTTTCAACTCATCCAGTGACTCTGTAATGAAAATGACTTCACAATGCTTTTACAGTTAGTCTAGGTTTATTCTCAATAAGGTTCAAGATGTACCTAAAAGTGCAGCATAAATAATTATTCTTGAAAGTTCTAAAAATGCCCTGATCCACAGGTTGAGGTCTATTATGTCTGGGAATAATAAGATGACTTCAGTGTTGGGATGCAAATACTGTACACATTCTTCACTGACTGGAGCATTATCCATTATCCAAAATGAGTAGCACCTTGAAAGCAATAATCTTTTTGGCAAGTTACTACACTACTTCATGAACAAAACAGTTCTATAAACATTCCAGTTGTAATCCATTCTTTTGCATTTGCACATCAGAAGAAATTGAATTGTTTTTTGTTCCTTTTTAAAGAAAGGGATTTAAGAGCAAAGTAAAACATCAAAAGGCTTGATGAGATACTCTCCTGGTGCATTTCCGCAAGTCTTTTACAGCTTTGAAACTACGTGGAAACTTTTCTTTTTTTAGAAATCAATATCCAGTTAGTCATGGGTTTCCAGTATAGACCTGTTCAATCTCAATTGATTATGTATTCTGGTAAATAACCTTTCAGTAAGTTTTATAAGTTAACAAGGGAAGTTTTTCACTGCCTCAGCATTTTTTAAAAGTTTTGAATCCACTCTTTTCTGGCTTGAAATGTTGTTTTCTGAGGTTTCTGACCTTTCAACTATTCCAGAAGATGATCCTGGATGTTTTTGGACTTTTCACAAATCACCAGGCTTGTTAAAGGCCCTTTGTTTTTGTTATGGGCTTTGATCCAAATGTTTAATGCTTTTTTCATTATTATACACGGATATCCTCCCCACTAAAGCTAAAGTTTCACCACTAGTAAGCTTATCTAAAAATTGTAATTTTGACTCTAATGATATTATCCTTTGAGGCCTTTTGTCAATGGTTTTATTGCCTATTTTCTTTTCAAATCTTGAGGTCAGAAAAAAAGTGCTAAAATGAAGAAGTTACTGTTCTACACCAAAATCCACAGTAATGACACAAAAGAAAGTATTATACCTCTTGCACTGGGTGTAAAGCATGGACTTATTGTGAATGAATATGCAGAATAGACATGAGCATATGAGTAAGCAGTTGCTTCCCATGGTTCCCAAACTCGAAACCATAATTTTGGTTGTTTTGTTGGGGGGAGCCAAGGTATATCCCAGCAAGCAACAGGCACAAGGTGGTGTACACCCTGGACAGGCTTGAGTCCATCACAGGGCACACACAGACTGTCAAGCCGGTTTAGCCAGTCAAGCAGGTTTATCAGCAGGAACAAAAAGTTATATCTTTTTATAAATAACAAAACCATTCCCTTGTTTTCTTGAATTCGTGCGCATTAAATAATATTTTCTCTTTCCTTCATTTTCTTTGTGTCACGGTAGTCACACGCACATGGAAAGTTTAGAAAGCGCCAGCATTGTCCCTAGCTCCTAACAATGCTGGCAAACACTAGTTAACACGTTGCTGTGTCTATATTAGTACAATAAAGCCTAACTATCTGACACTGCTGTAGATTAGGATAATGGATAGAGATGAACTGATTAAGTTTTATTTTGGTTTAGGGATTATTAGGGCATTGTAACTACTGTACTTTTGAACTGCTAGTAAGAACTGCACCTCTCTTTCACTGCTAGTACCACACCTGTCCTTGCAAATGAAAGATATATATATATAATGTTATTTCGTCCGCATGGATTAAAGAAAATGAGGGAACAATTTAGCTATTTTGTGCGCAAGAATTGTAAATCGTTCCCTCTATATAACTTTTTTTTCCTACTGATGGCCCCTTCCAGGCTCTGTAGGATTTACTGTAGGCACACTCTCAATCTTCAAATCTAGGCTAAGAACATATTTGTTTAGTCAAGCTTTCAGATAACTACTTAGGAATAGCAAGACATGCAAACTACCAATTTCTGTTTTCACTGTCATTCACTAATACTTTGTTATCTTTTTTCTATCCATCCATTGTGAGGTGGACTGTTTGGAGGCCCAGGTCCAGAATCCAGCTCCCTTTACTGGTCGTAAAACCAACAGCCAATCCTTTACAATGCCCTTACAAGAGAAATCTCAACTGGTAGGAAACCAATTGAACATTGACACTGTTGGACATTAATATACATGATCGTACTTTTCCCACCATAGAATACAGATGACTTTCATTTGTGTTAATCCTAATTTAACCCGGTGCCGGCCAGAGGAGGATAGGCTCCCCCTTTCGAGCCTTGGTTTCTTTCTACTTTAGTCTAGGGAGTTTTTTCTTGCCACTGTCGCCTTATGCTTGCACACTGGGGGATTAGGCCTGGAAATCTGTAAAGCTGCTTTGTGACAATGTCCATTGTAAAAAGGGCTATACAAATAAAACTGAAAAAAAGTTCCTAATCGAAGAACTGCAGCCTTTTCAAGTTCTTTATGGGAAATTCTGTTTTGGCTCATCGTATCTGAAGTTTTAAAGAACGTTTTCCTTCATTCTTAAAAACTTGCAATGTGCTTTGATTCAGATTCTGTGTTGTGTTTGTGTACTATTAAGGTACAAAAAAATGAGAAAGTCATCCATTTTCTTCTTTTTTCTCAATCCTCTTTTTGAGATTTGAGTTTGTGCTGTTCCCCATGTCACCATATCTTTTATGTTTAACAAATATAAAGTGTTTTGTTTTTATAAGATCACTTTATTAGCCATATACAATTTCTTGCATTAGGAATTTGTCTTTTCGCATACCCCAGCTTGCTCTCCATGAGACACACAGGCACACAGAGGGAGAGAAGCTTGGGGACAGAGCGCGGGGTCAGCCATTGTACAGCACTCCTGGAGCAGCTGGGGTTAAGGGCCTTTGATCAGGGTCCCAACGGAGTAGGATTCCTCTGCTTGCTGCGGGATTTGAACTGGCAACCTTCCAGCCACAGGTGTAGAAGCCAAAGAGCCACCACTCCGCCATTTTTTTTTTACGATAAGGATGGTTTTAGAAGATAAATGTTTTTTGATAGAAATGTAACAACAGTTTTTCTTTTTTGAAAAGCGTGGTTTATTGAAGAGAAAATTTGACTTCTAAGATTTAACAAAGAAATGTAAAAAAACCTTCATCATCCTTCATTCATCATCCTTTTTGGGGAGGAAGGTCTTTTTAGACACATCAACTAGACCGGCAAGGATGCATGTAAATATTAATTTCTATATTCTTAGATTAGGAGTAACTTTAAAAAGTATTTCTGATAAATTTATTTGAATCTTGGTATCAGGTGACATCACATTAAGGACTTTATCTGTGATTAACAAAGGAAAATTCAGATAAAAATGTCTTCTGTTCTAATTCACCTCCAGTCCTGCACTTCATCAGCACTTGATGGAGTTCGTGGGACAACCTTCAGTGTTATAGGTTTTTTTGGCTGAAAAATAGCATTCAATTCAACCGGGACCTGAAAAAGCAATCAATAATAACAGAAAAATACAGGGCATAATTTTTAAATTGCATTTGGAAAAAACAAAACATAATTTGCAGACTTTATGTGTAGTGAATATCACTAGACAAAAATGTATTATTTAGCAATATAAAAAATAAATTATTTATACAATCCTCCTGAAGGGAAACATTTCAGTTTATTAGAATGACTGATGTATTCAGTTTCAATTAATGGGGTTATCTGTTTAGCCTTATTTTAGAAAATTTTGCAATGTAATTTTAAAGCTGATCATTTTAAATAATCAATCACCTCAATTAAAACTTTAAACGTTTAAGGTTCCATGATTTTGATTTTGATATTTCATCCTGTACTACAATAGGTATTTGACTTGAATAAATAATAAGCATTCTAAATTCTCACCCAAATTACAATGGCAATAAGAAAAATATATTTTGTATTTGTTTTTAAAAAAACATCTTACTCTCACTTTAAGGCTGATATATACAATATACTATACACTACTTGTTTAATTAAATTAATTCTGTTTCACAAACATAAAAAAATGGATCCGTTTTTGCGTGACTTTAATTACAGCCAGTCAAAGGAATGTTCACTTAAATCTATCTCAGTGTTAATTGATTTGATCGTTGACATGATGAGAGCAAAAAATTAAGAGCATCCACCATTAACATAAAGGATTTTATTAAATCCCAATAACTAATGAATGCCATGCCATTCTCTTGAATCTTTTGCAGTCAGAAAACCACTACTTTGCTGGAAATTGTAATCTATAGTCTTCTACTCAGACTGCTAGGCAATTAAGTAGAGTGTCTTCCCCAGATATTAAGATGAAGAAGGTGACTGTATTAAAACAAAGACTGTATGAACAGAATGTCTCACCTGTGTCTCCTTGCAGGTTTCAAAACTGAAGCTCTGAAGCAGCTGCACAACAGCCAGTTTCATAACCATTAGGGCAAACCTCATTCCAATGCAATTGCGAGGTCCAGTTCCAAATGGCAAGTAAGCATAGGGATCCATGCTTTCCTTGTTGGCTTTGCTAAATCTTCAAACATACCAGGTAGGTGATGAATTTCAGAATATTTCGGATAGAAGTATATGCATAATGCATTAAGCAGCATTTAGATTTGATTAAAGTTGAAGCTACCCCAACTAAGGTTATATGGCTAGTCTCCTGAGTGGTTCAACTGGTAGACGGGCATGTCTGGGCACAGGCTGAGCTATGGTCTATGTTGCTGGTTTGAGCCAGGGTCATGTCACTAGGTAACTGGGACTGTGATTCTCCAAGCAAATGGAACAGGAATATTCAGCCAGGCCTCTCTCTGTTCTTGACAAATTAAATGACCACTGTGGCCTTCTGGGAGCTCTCCAATTGACACTGAACATCTGTTATGCAGCTGTGGTTCCCATGATGTGTTAAAAAACACAAGTGGTGTAAAGGTAGGTGTCACGCCTTCATCCCACCACATTCTCACACGGAAGGGCACTCGCATGAATCACACTCCAGCCCTGAGCACTTCTGCTAAACGACACCGCTCCTGCCGATCAGCCAACCACTACACTCCATCAATCAGCGCACCTTCTTCCTCGCACAATACTTAAACCCTCCAGAACCCTCTGCTCTTTGCCTGGTATTGGTTGGTTGTTTGTTCACCTACCTTGCTTTAGATTCTGTTTTCCTTCTTGCTCTTTGTTACTAACCACGGAACTCACCTTCGACTATGTCTACTGTCTTGCCCCGTAGGATTTGGAAGCCTACTCATTGACCTTCACCTTTTGACTCATGGAACTGCCTTTTCAACTATGACTTTAGTCTTGCCCTATTCTGGATTGGAAACCTTCTCTCCTGCCTTTTTCTATGATCCTTGGAACTCGACTCGGACTTCGCCACTCGTCTAGCCCCCTAAGGTACCGCATAGGGTCCATTTTCCTGTTTCCTCAGCGGGTCAATCCTGACAGTAGGCAGGTTAACTTCCTTCACTTCACTTCCTAATTATCTCCTGTGTGTGGTCATGGGGTTTGTAGAAGTGAGCTGAGATTTAAGAAGCACACAACTGGAGATGACAAACATCAGATAGGTATAACAGAAAACTAAGTGGCGTTGCCCAGACTCACATGAAATCAAATATTTTACCCAACTCTCCATAATGCATTCCAAATGCCATGTGAAAGCAGCATGAAGTAAGTCTGAGGTTACTTTAGTCTACACAATGGCAAACTGACACTTAGTACTGGATTAAACATTTGACAAAGAGGCAGGTAATTAGGAGGTTTGTGCTAATTGGAGACTACAATAAGCCTACAATGAGGATATTGCACATTCTCAGGAAAAAACAAAAATCAAGTCAGGCAGAACTTAACCTTTCAGGCTTGAAGACATCAGGTTCGGGCCAGTGATCAGGATCGTGATGAAGAGCATACACTGGTATCGTAACAATGATTCCCTCTGGGATGGTCACCCCATTAATCTCAACAGTCTTCTTACACATCCTCTCAAGACGGGGTGAAGGGAACAGCCTGAGAGACTCGCTGATGACCATGTCCAGGTATTCCATCTTCATGAGTGCTTCATATGTCACAGGAGCCTTGAAAACACGGCAGCAGGTAATTTGTAAAGCCACCAGCCTCCAATGAGACCAATAAAGCTGCTCTTTCTAACTTTAAATTATTTTGTTTAGCGATGGTAATTCATTAATACATAATTTAATAACATATGTTCACCCCAACTCCCATCAACTACGTTCTCACTAGGGTACAGCAGCTCAGACTTTCTTTCACAGAGTTTTTAGCTCATGTCCTCTTCCACCAACATTACTGCCACCCACACAACAGCTACCCTTTGGATTATTTTATAGAGTAGTTCTGTCTACCTTGCCCACATGGCTATGCTCAACTAAAGCACTTTGAAGCCAAAACACTTTTTACACACATTACATTAAGTGATGTTTTTATCTGGCCTGAAGTTCTTGACGGCTAAATGCAGTCTAAAGCTGCGAATTACTAAAGCATATCCATGAACAGTCAAGAGCCTGTAATGTGTGGCTTCATTGTCAAGGACAATTCAAGCAAGGCAGTAGAACAATAGGATGTTGGTAAAATAGAAGTATGGCAAAATAAACAATTAAAAAAATATAATCAAAACACAAAATGAAGCAAAGTTCAAACGTTTTGGCAGCTTTGTTTCAATTACTCCCTGACAAAAAAAACACACCTAACTCTTGGCTGCTCAAGAATGTGAATGAGTAGTGAGACATTACTACCTTGTTTGAGAAGACTTCATCAATTTCTTTTTGTAGTTTCTTCTGGACATCAGGGTTGGTGGCAAGATTGTACGCTAAGAAGGAGAGGGATGTACTTGTAGGCTCATAACCACCAAAAACAAAGATCAGGGACTGAGACAGGATCTCATGGTCTGTTAGACCTGTTGAATGTAGCAAAGCAAAATATTGATATAGGTTAATATACAAAATGGAGTGTATCTTGCATTGTGTTATAGAACTAAAGGAACATATTGTGACAGCTCACAATATTTTGGGACAAGTGTCATTTAGCCCAGATAAGGGTACCTTTATTTAGCTCTGGGTGTCTTTTTTAGACCCTGACTAAACATAAATCCAGGCACCTAAGCTGTTTACCGGCACTGGTACAGTATATTATGCCATTATAACACATTTTAAATCCGTAACCACTACAAGACCTTTTTATTATTTTCTTCTTGTAGTTACACTGTAATCTTAGCACTTGTGGTTCTGTCAATGTCCTACTGGAAAATTGACAGACATTTCCAGGAATTCTTTGTCATTGTATCTCTGGTAGTACGATCGTCCACTGTCTATACATAAGGCATTCTAGTGTTAAAGGAGATTCCTTCCCACAATTTTCACATTTCCACTGATCCATTGATTGGCTTAAACACAAAGGGCAACATAAAGCTCACTACAATGTCTCTATTCAATGTCTCTTAAAGGCAAAACAGAATTAATCACAAACATTCCAACTTTGTGAGTGATTTACTCTCTCAGCTGACATGCAGGCTACTTCTTTCTGGAATTCTTCAGAACTAAGATGGATAAGGGTGAAATACTGGTAAGTCAGATCTCGTATGGCTGCCTTCTTGGTCGAGGCCGGTCACTTACAGAGCCAATTTCCTAATTTCTCTGATCTGTGCCCTGATATCCAAAAGAGGATGGTCATCATTTAATAAAGATTGATCTATACCAGAAACTGTCATGCTTTAGTCTGCTGGTCATTGAAACAGAACATCTCATTCCCAGGCATATTCTTCACAGACGGGCCCCATTAAATTATACCAATATCAACTAGTTGATCCTCATTACTTGAGTGAGGCATGGTCATATATTTAGCCGTTGTTGCATTTATTAAAAGTATCTTTTGCCTAAAAAATAATTGCCTAATGAGTTATTATGCTTAATACAGGCATGGTTTTCATTGTGTATCTGCATAAGTTTCAAAGGCTATACCAAACAGGGTTTTTCATTTTGTTTTTGGCTTATCAAAAACTGTTTCAGATGTCAAGCTCAAATATAACACCCTGAATATGCATTCAGAAATATATACCTGAGTCAGCATAAATCAAAGTAACATCAGATAAACAAGCAGATAAAGTAAAAGAAGGGCTCATGAAAACAAATTATAGAAACTGTAATCGTTGGATATTTAAAATTAAAATCTAATGATACACAGTTAAATAAATGTACAGCACCTTTTATAACTTCCTTTTCTCCATATATGCTTGAGTTATTCTCAGGAAGTTGTGAATCCATCATCAATTGCAAGAAATCCACTCGATTCTGTAGAGAAAAGTACATAGACAGAAGTCACCTTACTCTCCAAGAGACAGACTATATAAGGTAATTATGTATAGTACTGTATATAATATGGATGTATAGTATATATGTATTTAGTATGCACGCACAAAGCGTTTGTCTTTTTTAGAACTTACATTGGGAATATTTTGTTTACGTTCTGCCTTTATCTTGCGAAAGGAGTCGTAGAAAAAGGTCATCACTGACTGAGGGAAAAGGCTAAAATTCAGCTTGTCCAACAATGTAGCAGTGAAAGGAAATATAGCTGTAATAATAGGAAAAAACTATCAGGTCTTCCAATGAATAAGAACTAGCAACAGTTTTATATTTTTGATATATGGGAAAACTATTCAGTGGAATTTTTCCAGTTCACATGCACACGTGCATTTGTAACACTTCCTTATTAACTTGAGCATTATAACTTCAGTATAAAGACAGTACTACAAAATACACTGGAACCATTAAAAATGAAAAATACATATCTGACAAAAGTACAAAGTTCCCCTCAGATTTCTTCTATTAACTCATTAATTAATTGTTCAGAATATGAGTAAATAATTTTAGTGCAGATGATCATGCAGAAAAGGTGTTGCTGGACAACTTAAGCAGTGGGGACAAGATAACTTTTAATTCTGCTGTAATAAGAAGAGTCCAGTTTGAAAATAGTGCTTTCATGGAGAATACTATGAAATGGAGATAGACTGACAAAAAACCTAACATATCACTGTCAGAGATAACTATTCAAACTGTCATGCCATAAGAAATCTAAATCATCTCAACCTTTACCAACAGTACAGTATAAAATTGCAGGTACCTGTATACAGGGTTAGTCAAAATGTTATTGACAAGTATAAATGCCAATTATTTTACTAAAGTTTTGTTTTCTCCTCCACAGATGGCGAAGGATTGTAAGGTAACGTTTAGAAACTTTGATATTTATGCTTTTGTTTGAATCCTTTTTGTCACAATAACCCATGCAATTAATTTGTAATAAAATGTCAAACTTGTCGACAGCATTTTGACTAACCCTATACTTTATATCTTCTGAATCAATTTCTGGACAATCAAAGAAGCTACACATAAAAACATACTTATGATAAGCAGAATAGGGTTGAAGAAATTGAAATTGAGCATCTTCTTGACATTGGTCACAAAGGGGTCATCGGGGTTGTTGAGAGAGTCAATGGAGACACTGAAGGAGGCGCTGGTAACAACATCCATGCTGTAGGGTCCAATGACACTAGAAAAAATGATATTATATAATTATAATTGCTTACACTTATATAGTGCTTTTCTGGATACTCCACTCAAACCACTTTACAGGTAATGGAGACTCCCCTCCACCACCACCAATGTTAAGCATCCACCTGGATGATGCGACGGCAGCCATAGTGCACCAGAACGTTCACCACACATCAGCTATCAGTGGGGAGGAGAGCAGAGTAATGTAGCCAATTCATAGAGGGGGAGTATTAGGAGGCCATGATTGGTAAAGGCCAAGGGGAAATTTGGCCAGGATGCCTGTGTAATACCTCTGCTCTTTATGAGAAACATCCTGCGATTTTTAATGACCACAGAGGGTCAGAGCCTGTTTTATGTCTCATCCGAAGGACGGCGCCTTTTTATAGTAAGAGTGTCCCCGTCACTATACTGGGGTATTAGGACCCACACAGACTGCAGGGTGAGGGCCCCCTGCTGGCCTCACCAACACCTCTTATAGCAGCAACCTTAGTTTTTTCCAGGTGGTCTCTATCATCCAGGTACTGACCAGGCTCACACCTGCTTAGCAATATTAATAGGTGAATCTACAGTTTATTCATTGTATCATGTATGGATGGATGCAAGCGTGAATGTATCTAAGTTACTTACTCCTTAATTTGGACAGGTTGACTCCGGTCTTTCTTATGCAAATTTATAACCAAAGTGTCAGCACACTGCTTTGCAATCGGAAAAACCTGTAAGAGAAAGCTTCCTTCATGATCACCTCCAAGAATGCAAGACGGGAAACCTTATAACCGCAAGGTTCTATCTTACAGTGCATGTCAATATATTTACTGCCTTTCTAGCTGGCATGTTCAGGCTTCTGTATTTCCTAACTGTGCTTGCAGGATAACAGATATCCATGCATCACCTGAGTTGTGTCAGGCTGATTGTTTTTTTACACATAGGTGTACTCAGTGAGGACACACACCTGCTTTGATACTGTTCCATTGTGAGGGCAAGCACAGATCTCCCTGCCACCCAACCTCCCTTCATCTAAAAGAGCCACCTTGATCTAAAAGAATACTTAAAGGTCTGAATAAAGGACCCTTGAACTTTCTGGAATTCAGTGATTCACACCAAATATGATTTTGCTCTGTGTGTTTAAATACTATTACTATAATACTATAACTTGATATTTTTAAAACAAGATGAATCCGTAACTCACTCTGTTGTGTGCATTTTTTGTTCTGGTTTCTTTAGGAGTATGATTAAATCTGAGGGGTCATAACATACAGTATAGTATAATCATTTCAAATTCAAAAAAGGTATAATATATTACAAATTAAATCTTCAGGACCCTTGAGGTTCTATTTAACTTGCATAAAAACAAAACAATATAAAAAAGAGAAAAACATCAAAGAATTAAAGCATTAATTCTTGTGGATGTTATTGCATTAATGATAAAAACAAATAGTATGTTTCAGGTGTGACACCTGAAATAAAACACAAGAGTACACATGAAACTACAAATGTTTCACTCTTTTTTTGAGTGTTGAATTTATCTCAGCTTGCTCTGTTTGCAACCTAAATGCGGACATTCAGTAGCTCCTCAATGTAATCTACATACTGTGCAATCAACAAACGACAAGCATGAATCTTTTATCACTATAGTAGTCTGAGACTTCACTGACTCTTCACTCTCTCACAGAGTCCAGATTACAACTACTGTATCTTATTTAGCTGGATGTGTCTAGTTCTTGTAGCTGTGTGACTGATTGCTTTTGAAAGAGAGGGATGTTTTTCCCTTAATTCTCATGCCAATCAAATAGAAACACAACACTTCTGCCAATTAACTAATTCAAAGTATTGCACTGCCATATCCCCATTTTTTTATTTTGGTAATACCATACTTGAACAAACTGTTGAAAAAGTGGTGTGAAATTATTGTATCTCTTTTCATAGCTCTGGATCCTTCCATGTGGTTTGCATGGAAGGCCAGTGCTTTTTGACTCAATGCATCTTGAAAAAAACACTGACCTCTTTCAGGCGTCCACTGGTAAAGGATGGTGAAAGCACACTGCGTATTCTTTTCCATTTCTCATCTTTTACCAATGACAGAGCATCATACATTGGTCCTACCATTTTTGCTTCCTGAAATACAATAGTAAGAGTGTAGTAAGAGTTTACTACAATCAAAAGGTTTGACAGATATACAGATATCCAGCAGCCATATCACCCTGCAACTCACAACTGGCAACCCACTGAAGCTAAGCAGGTGTGAGCCTGGTCAGTACCTGGATGGAAGACCTCCTGGGAAAAACTAAGTTTGTTGCTGGAAGAGGTGTTAGTGGGGCCAGCAGGGGGCGCTCACCCTGCGGTCTGTGTGGGTCCTAATGCCCCAGTATAGTGACGGGGACACTATACTGTAAAAAGGCGCCGTCCTTCGGATGAGGCATAAAACAGGCTCTGACCCTCTGTGGTCATTAAAAATCCCAGGGCGTTTCTCGAAAAGAGTAGGGGTGTAACCCCGGCATCCTGGCCAAATTTCCCATTGGCCCTTACTAATCATGGCATCCTAAAAATCCCCATCTGTGAATTGGCTTCATTACTCTGCTCTCCTCCCCACTGATAGCTGATGTGTAGTGAGCGTTCTGGCGCATTATGGCTGCCGTTGCATCATCCAGGTGGATGCTGCATATTGGTGGTGGTGGAGGGGAGTCCCCAGTACCTGTAAATCGCTTTGAGTGGAGTGTCCAGAAAAGCGCTATATAAGTGTAAGCAATTATTAATTATTATTATATTATGTGTTAAATTCTGAAAAACAAAATTATTATGTTAAAGCAATTCTTTTAAAATGAAAGTGATAGCAAACAACTCACAATTAAGAATATGTCCAGCTATTGAGAATATAATCTGCTATACTGGCAACACAAATTACATTTATCCCACTTAACAAGCAATTTTAATGTAACAATACTCTATCAATATTTACAATATTACCAACATCTGACAATATTAATATTATCGGTGACCAGGCCTGTCCAGCATTGTATACATAAGCATACCCTAAGCATGCTGGGATGTATCTGCTCTATTAGCACATATGCCACCCCTGTGTGGAAGCCCTTACTTTCACTATACATGATCCCCATTTACCCAGATGTTTCCAGATTTGTCCACAATCTGTAGATTCTGATATGTTTAGCAAACTGGTGAAATTCTAATATGATTCCAAAATAGAAGGATTAACAAACACTGTACAAACTGCATAAAAATCAAAATATTTAGATTTAATTCAGGACTAAATTTGACAAAATCAGTAGTACTGCCATTACTGGCTCTTCCAATGGGGAAGCACTTTTAAAATTGAGAACTGAAGGCACTGTAGAATAGCTGTAGAAGTGTAAGACAAGTTCCTGGGAAATAGCTGGATGAAATGGCTGAAAGTAATAGATTACTATTCATAGATTATAGTTCAGATTTCTATACCATAATCCTATCCATGTTAGTCACCAACTCTCAAATCTGGGCCATAGTACTTCTCTTTGTAACTGGATCCTGGACATCCTGATGGGCAGACCTTAATCTGTGAGAATAGGCAACGCCTCCTCCACTCTGATCCTCAACTCAGGAGCCCCCAAGAGCTGTGCGCTCAGTCCTGTTCTTCATGTTCACCCACAATTGTGCAGCAAAACACTGCTCCAACTTCATCTTTAAGTTCACTGATGACACCACCATTGTAGGTTCTATCACAAATAATGATGAAACAGAGTACTTGAAAGAAGTTGAGGACCTTGTGGTATTGTGTCAGGGCAACAACAACTCCCTCAACGTCAGCAAACCTAAGGGGCTATTTATTGGTTACAATGGGGCTGCTGTGGAGATGGTTAGCAGCATCAAGTTTCTGGGCATTCATACCATGAACAATCTGACCTGGTCCCATCACATAGGTGAAGTAATGACAAGAGCACACCAGCACCTCTACCTACTCAGGACATTTGATATGTCTTCTCAAAGACTCTTACATTTTTATAGATGCACTGTAGAAAGTATTATCACTGGACACACTGCAGTTTGGTATGTTAATTGCTCAGCTCATGAATGTAAAAAACAACAGAAGGTGGTGGAGATACCTGAGGCCATCAATAGTACAGAATTCCCTTCCATCCAGACTATCTTCTCCACACGCTGCCTCAGAATGGCGAATAATCGAATCAAAGACCAAAACCATCCTGGGAGAGCACTTTACTCTCTTCTTCCTTCTGGCAGAAGCTACAGGAGTATAAAAGCCTCTACCCCACAGCCATCAGACTCCCGAACTCCACATCTTAAATCCCCCCCCCACTTACAACCCTATTTTACACTGAACTGAAAATACTGCACCACTCGAATGTTACACTGAACTGAAAATACTGCCACTGCTGAATTTTGTACTCAGCTGCTGTCTACTGTAAATGCTGGATAAAAGTATAGCTATTACCATGTACCCTGTCTCCAAGAAGTGTGATGTCATTTGTTACTATATGTCATTTTCTTTGTCAATGTTATGTCATTTGTAATGTGAGGAAAACACACAAGTAAGCATTTCATTGTTCTCAGGTACATACTGTCATGATCGTTATCCATCCTCTAGAGGGCGCGCCGAGCCTTTTGTGTTTTTTATTATCACGTTCACCTGCCCCTTGTTCTGTCCTTTATTTAAACCCAGTGCTCTGGAAGATCGGGGCTCTGCATAGGAAGACGGACGCCTGGAGGCCCACCTTGCTTCGAGTCGCCCTACATCCGCGGCTTGAAGGCATAAGCTTCCATTCGGCATCCTGACCAAGCTCAGTCTGGGGCTCAGAGTGCCCGGCCTAGTCACTCTATTTTTAACCTCCGTGTTCCTGTTACAGTTTCCCCTTCCTGGGGATTTCAATCGTCCTTGATTTGGATGGACCTCCCAGTTTTGGACTATGGACTGTGCCCCGGTTTCCCTTTTGGACTTCCTTGGACTTGTCTGCCAGCGTTCCCCCCACCTGATCACCGTCGGCACCGCCCCCTGTTCGCCATCCCTTCCTTTCCTAACTAAGTTTTCCCCATAGCCATTTTCCAGTCACTTCCGGATTATACCGTATGACAATAAACTTGAACTTGAAACCCTTGGATACATTGCTATTAAAAACCAAACAAGCTAGATGGACTGGGTGGCCTCTTTCTATGTGATTATGTCCTCAATGCTAAAAAAATAGTAGTAATAGATCTAAAGAGATGACAAAAATTACATACTCTCCTGTTAGTGAACAAAGAATAGCACTCCTTCACCATAATAGTTTTGATAATTGCAGTATCCACGATAGCCAGTGTAGGTGTCCTGCCCTCAAAAACCCTGGATAGCGAAAGAGAAAAACTGAAAGTGAGACCACAAAACTGGAATACAGTCCAGATGTCAAGTTCCTTATTTTTTTCAGAATGTGTGTTCTTACAAAATGTTTATACTCAAAACTTTACCAATCATAATTAGCACAATAAATTGAAGTTAAATCCTCCATTTTCTGTTTATTTCAAGCATCCTATGGAGTTCAATAAGATTTACAAGTGCCTTTCTTTGAGACAGGTTATTTATACAGGTAACGTTGTCCAAGTATTCCATTCCAAATTACACCTGAGTAAAGGCTCTACGTGTAATACAGGTTGTAATTCAGCAGTCCTGATGTGGATGGATTTTGATTGATGACGTCATTAGCCAGCTGTGATGTGCAGCCCCCAAAGAGCCAGGAGATGTGTGCCTCTGATTGTCTGGCTTAAATGCCAAGCATGGTTTTCTATTCTTTCAATGAAATACCAAATTCCCCAACTGCATGTGTCTGTGATCAAAAGTTTAATGTAATGTCCCAGCTCTGTTGTTTTTTTGGGCTTGTGGCTAGATACAAAGTGGACCACCTGACAGTGTCCGTCTGGGATCATTAAAGTGCAACAGGGATAATTCACTTTAAGCTTCTTGTTACAGTGATGCAATCTCTGGAATGGGAAGACATCACAAAGCCCTGAGTTACAAGACTCAAGACTACAGTATGTTGTCTTCATCTCTTCCCTGCCTGTACAAGAGCACACATTGAGAGCTGAAAAGAATAACAATTGGCATTTCAGGCTTAGAATTTAAAATGAAAATGCTAGAATGAAACCAACCTGAGCAGTATCACTGTACTCACCCCCATACTTTTCCAAATTTGCAGAAACACTCCAAATCAAATACATGAACACCCTGTGGAAAAACGTATTATTATGATTTTCCAAAGTCAGTCAAAACCATAGAGAAATACAATACAAGAGTATCTCTTTCCATTGGATATTTAAATAGACTGCAAATCTTGCATTCCATTCCTGTAGACTGTAATAGATTAAAAGAATATTGAAAACCCCATATGGGAACCACCTTCTGTTGTCCTTGGCTCAGTAACCAACAGAAGTAGGTACATACTGTACAGGAGGTTCAGCATATGCGACCAGATAACACTAACCAATTCTTACTCTTCCTTGCCCAAATCTATATTGTAGCTGTGAAGCAAAAAAAAATATTTGCAAAAATCAGATTAAAAAAAACATAAACAGCAATGACAAAGGATAATCGAAATGTACAGCATGGTTTCTCAAATGCTGAGCTATATTTATATTTACATTTCAAACTGTTTAAAGGAACGTGTACATACACATGTAATGATATGGCTGTGAAATCATTTGTTTCAAACTTACAAAATTTGTTAGAACTTACTTTTCTGAATTCCAGGAAATTCCCAAAAAAGGGCAGAGGTCTAGGACCAGGAATTCCCAGTTTTTTGAAGAAACTATATGGCCAAATGCCATACCTTCAGACACAAAAGACACAAAAGACAGCTGAAAGTACTAACTAAAATTGTATCTACTCAAACAAATCTGGATTTGGCTAGAAGAATTCACCTGGAGGTTTTGGGATACACAGAGCTCTTGCTATTCTGAGGCCTCCCAAGTGGCTCAAACAGTAAAGACACTTGCCTGAGGGCAGCTTGAGCTCTATGATCTTTTTTCATTTAACACCTCACATTCACCTCAACCCTGTACCGGAGCTTCAGTGTTCAGGTGTTCCCCTTACCAACAGCTCCCCATGCTTACAAGAGCTCAGGAGGCAACAGCTCATTGTGTTTCTGCAGAGAGCTCAGACCCACTAATCTCACCCTTCCCTCAGCCCGGGCTGCTGTCCACCACAAGAATACTGGCCATACTGGCCAGAATACAGCCAGGTTAGTGACATAGTCTAGGCTCAAATCCATTTCATTACAGGTTGGACCGCTTGAGAAGCCCTAGTGAACTGTTAAAAACACAAGGACAAGCAACATCTGAGATAATAAAAATAAACAGATTTTTTTGTCCGGTACTACTACATAATAGCAGTTTACACAAATTAATCAGCCTTTTCCAAAAATACAGTCTGTTGTTTTAATTTAAGATGAACACATTTTAACAAGATTAACAAATTGTTGTCAACAATTTTAGCGTTCATCCCAACCTGCCACCCGTTTTAGTCCATCGGTAAAATAAAACACCAGATGTTTGGGCGTTTATGTTATTAGCCCATTTGGTAATAACCCTACTGGTTACTAAAGTTCATGCATATTTAAGGAGCACTTCATTTACCCTTTCAACAATTAATTGAATGTGTTCTGCATTGATACGTAATTCACGACGAACAACACGGAATGAACACCCACCTATACAGTATGTCAGTACTCTTTAAATAATTCAGGCAGTGACAAATCGGTAACTATTAACAATCGCTTAAATTCAAGTATGTTTTTCTTATAAAATTGGTGTATTTATTACTTTAAAATTAAAAATAGTTCTAGTAATATAGAGTCTGACTCACTAAGTTTCCCTAAGAACAGTACAAAAATTTCGATTAATGTAACTCACAGGATCAGAAGAGTTAAGAATGAAACGAGAAGCGTCCAGGTCTCGGTTGATAAAGATGGAAGGACGGCCATGATGCACTTTTCCTTTCTATTCACTGCCTTCTCGCCTTATGCTACAATTTTGTTTTGTCACAGTTCCGTGTATATCAACTCGTTTTATCCCAAGAGCTTGAAGCAGGGGGCGGAGACTTCTCAGTTCCAAGTTCTCAGATAAGAAATCTTGGCTGTAGGTAACTTCAACGTTATCGGAATATGACATATACATATGATCAAAGAATGGTCTTAAATGGCCAAGAAACCCTTTTCTAAATTATTTTCTTTTACCTTTATATTTTGAAGTTAACCATACAGTACAATATTATATAATAATATTATGAAATTACTGTATTCCTTGTTAATTCAATCTGCCTGTTACAGTATACATTTGTTTGATTTTGTGACATTGCACTGTGTTAAGAATGTGATGTCATATCTGTCAATGTTTATCTGTATATTACATAATTATTGGATTTATGGTTCTATTTTGTCCTTCACCAATATGTTTGTGAAGAAGCATGTAATAGTGAGGTGTGTACGAAATGTTATTACTTCTAATAAAAAAAATGGCCAGACTGTAAAATATTGCCCAGACTAACATTAATTAATAAGAAGACATCCCTTTAAATTTTAAAATCATTCTAACAAAATTGAAAACATCATAAATTAAGCAGAACATCATACCAAAATAGCTACATGAGTTTAACTTTAAATTGAAGGGCAGTTTTGAAAAGACAGTTGCAGATGCAAATAATGGATGTACAAGTACACAGACTGTTTATACAGTATATGCCATAAACATATATAATTTAACCATCAATAGATGTATTTTAGATATGGGTTTAAAATTTCAAAATGATACAATTGAAAACCGAGAGGAAGTACAGTACATATAATATCAAGTACAGGAGTTATGTTTTTAAGCAAATGATTCTGGGAGTTAGGGAATCTAGTCATATTGTCAAAGATGATTCTGACTTCTTTCAAGCAATGGCCAGTAAGTTACTTGGATCAAGTCACAAGGAGAACAGCAAGGTTGGTGGGCAAAATGGCCTCCTCTCATTCGTAAGCTTTATTATCTTAAAATACTATCTTTGAAGATAATAAACACTTATTTTAAATCGGCCAATGTCTTATTACATCATCTTCAAGACTACACAATGCAGTTATCATGCTGCTCATAAAAAGTCATCTCTTGACATCTTGTTATTTTCTTATTTCAGAAATAGAAGAATGTGTGCTGTGAGGTCTGGTGTGACCTCTTCGTTTCAAAAAGTATGTGAAGGTGTCAAAGCTGCAACCTTTGAAACATTACCTTATAAGAACAGATGATGGATGAGTCGTATAATGAGAGCTGTCTTAAGCAAACAACTGCTGGGCAGTCTTAACTCTTTGTAATTCATTTATGGTTACAGAAACAAAATTAAAAGAAATACATTGATTGCATAAGTTTTCATAGTTATGAACTCTACATTTGGTAAAAGCAGTTTGGCAGCAATTACAACCAATGTATATGAATGAGTTTCTGACAGTTTTGTACTATGGAGTGGTTAACTTTTTGCCCTTTGTTCATGACAAATTCTCTGAAGCTCTTTTAAGTTGCTGGGGATTGCTTATAAACAGCAATTTTCAAGACTTTCCAAAAATTTTCAGTAGGATTCATGTCAGATGTCGCTTTGACTGAGCTTCTCAAGGACATTCACTTTCTTATTCATAATCCATAATTCATATAGCTCTATTGGCTCTTTCTTTGGATCAGTGTCCCGCTGAAAGGTGAATTTCTAGGTGTGAAGCAGGCTTTCCTCTTAGATTTGCCAGTATTCTCGTCCATTTATGCTCCCATCAACCTTGACAAGATTCTTAGTCCCTGCCAATAAGTACAGTAGAAATATTATACAAATGCTGCCACCACCATGAATGACAGCAGGGACAGTGCTGAATGAGTGATGAGTGATGTTGGACTTGTAACACTTTGCACTTAGACAAAAAAGTTTAAGCTTTGTCTTGTGTGCAGTATGACAGTATTTGTTTTATCTATTTAGTATCACTTACAGTAGATGCTTTGTTGCTAACCCTATGTGGCATTCAATTTTTTTTTTTCAGTTCCATACAAGTCTCTTGTAGAGTGACCAGAATATTGTAGACCCACATTTTCTCTCATTTCAGCTACTGGATTAATGCGGTCATGACTTTTAAATCCTTGATGCAATCTATTTAGAGGAGCACATCCAAATGTAAGAATCTAAGCTACTAACAACAGGAAAACATACAGTATGGGCCAGTTTTACTTATTGGATGACTGGTAAAAAACTGGTTGAAAAATGTTTTTGAGGGATCCCAGAGTGTCAGAAGAAATACAAGATCCACCAACATTATTATTTAAACAGAAGTGACATCTCTGTTAAGCAGTACCAGGTGCCTTGTCAAAATCTCTTTGCCTTGCAGTCTACAAGCCGTTAAAACCATCTCTGCTTTCCAATATTGACCACTGTAGAGGATAAGATCAGAAGCATCTTTTATTGAATTATGTTACATGTCACTTTCCCTGTTAAAGATGATTTTATCTTAATCCTATACTTTCAGCAACTGTAGACCTCCAGATTACATCTTGAACCACATTTTTGTTTCATCAGTGCAACAGATTATAATAAATCTAATGCAGTGTGATAGATCAGTCTGAACACTATTCTGTATGGCATTTTCTTCACCTGCAATCCATTATTCTAGAAGATACACATATAGTATTACATGTAATTAACTCCAGTTACCTTGGATAAAGTTGTCTGTCAAATAATTATAATGAGATATGGATGTAGAGACTGAGCCCTGTGAGAGGTGCATTCTGTATCTTCATCAGTTTTCAGTACTACCTACTACCTCAGCAAGCCTTGAAAAAAATATAATCAATAATTCATCAAAAGGAATTATGTAAGGAAAATAACAACAGGTATTAGATAAGGAAAATGTGGGATCTGAGAAAACTGAAGAACAATCCCATGAAAATGACACTAATCTGGATTGAAAATTCAAAAGCATTTTTTAATCTTAAGCAAGAGTGCAAAATCATAAATAACATTTAACCTCCAACAAAAAGTGTGGTAAAGATAAACATAGTGATATAAAAATACAAGTTAAAGAATGTAGTTATTTCTGAATAAGAGACAATGATTGCTTCAAACAATGTTTGTGATGCATGGGTAACAGAAAGATTAGGAAAAAAAACAAATAAATTGACTGGCATGCAACTAAAAATAAAACTCTGCAATCACATTTACAAATTCACAGACATACAGTGTAAAACAAGTTTGGGAAGAAAACCATTTTAGCTTCCTTTTAGAATAAAGGATCACATTGCTGTACACTGTCTCCTTCTTCTCAATGTTCTTGTGTGTCAGGTTGGGCTCTGTAACATACTGATCACATTACATATAGGTAATCTCACAGAATGAATGTAGAAAAAAACAATGGAAAAATAAAAAAATGGAAAATTGTAGACAATATCCCAAGCTTTTACAAGGTTAAAAATATCCTCAATTAAAATATGACTTTAAGAATCCACAGCTATGGAGAATCACAGAGGATGTTGTTTGTTAAATAAGCAGTGACCATTGACCACCTCTTTTGTGTTAAACATACTACTGCCCTCTGCTGTGCACAATGGTTATAAGGAAAGATCTACAGAGGAGCAAATTTAACAGCTTTCCTAAAAAAATGATTTTCAACACCACAGTGCTGGGAAGCACATGCTGTTTTTTCCCAGCTTTGATAAATGCACCTGATTTTCTGACAGTATAGTTAAATATCAATTCTAATTTGTATATATATAATTTTGATAGAAAAATGAACACAGCAGTTTAGGACAAATAACATGTAAGTTATTGAGGACTGGGACATGAACATTATATATATTATTAAGTTTATGTATAAAAAGAATTGAAAAAATACAGTTATCCACACAGTGTGTTTGTGCCTGTCAAAATGATTCTTTCCCACTATTATTTCTAGATGTGAAGAAGTCTTCTCCACTGCACATTAATTATCCAAGACATCTGCAACCCTTGCAACAAGACAATTGGAAAATGTTTTACCATCACTCAAATACCAGCTACCTAAGACAGTTCATCAGTGTGACAGACACATTGTGTACATACAGTTTGTACAATATCCTTGACATCCTGTCATTAAAAGAGCAGGTTGTGTTTAATTCTTAGTTCTCGACCTCCTTTGAAGGGCTTAGTTCTCAGCTGTGTTTATTTGAACTGAGTTAACGTCTTTAGGAGGCAGCAGTGAAATGTGATGCAGAGACAGGAAAGCGCACACAGCCCAAAAACCAGAACAGTGAAAGCAGGAAAATTTAACAAAAGAAAAATCTGCTGCCATGAAAACTTATATCTTTACAATGAATGAAGAAGAAAACATCTGATAAAAAAATACTTTATATCTGACTTCATTATAAAATAGAATCAAAAGTTATTATTTTCATTAAGTCACCACATTGGGAATCACCCATGCATCTCTTGTTGCTACACACAGTAGTTCACCCCATGCATAAAGAATGCTAAACAGCCTCCACCAACCTGCCCACCATTCCAGGTGTTATATGCAGCACATAGAAGATTCAGCCCCTGAATGGAGGTGGGATCCCTTACTGCAAACTTGCAGGCACCTGGGAAGTCATAGGGATCACTTTTGCACTGTGAGTTGAGAAAGCTTTGGCCATCTAATCTCAGTTACACTAAGTCAACTGCATTTGGGGATGCTGGTCCCAGTCAGCTAGTGATGTGATCCAGCCTTAAACTTGCAACATCACAGAACTAAACCTGTACTCAGAGTGAGTGGAGATTTGAAGTTTGAGGTTTCCATTTTCCTTTCTAGAGTCCAGCCTTATAAAGTAAACATCAACAACAACTCAGTAGCATGAAAAATTCACTTAGGTGAATGGATTGTGCTGCCCTATGACACATTTAGCTTCAATGCGATCAATTTTCAGATATTAGTGAAAAACATGAAAACAGAAATAAAGTTATTTTCAGGGGGAAACGACCTTGTAACAGTTCTTTAAAGCCTTACTAAAAAACAACAACTGAACATTTAAGGGCACCAGGGTAAACACAAGTTAAAAAAACTACTGAATGTGCGTTGTTGTGTGCAACAAGAACAGACAGCCAATCCCAGACTTAATATATAAGTCATATTTCATTTACAGGGTTAAAAGAAAACACATTTTTTTAGTGAACCTGACTTACTTTTAACCTTTTGAAGCAGCACATGCTAAACCAGTGTGGATACCTTCTGGGGCTACAATAGTGCATCTGGCTAATGACAACATTCTTCAGGTCAGGTCAGTGCTCAAATTATGATGATAGTGCCCGCAGTATAAGGTCATAATGTCATCACAGTTGACAATGTTGAAATTTAATTTCATTAATAAAAAATTGTTTACTTGGTGAAAACTCTGTGAAAAATTCATTTATAGACCAGAAAGAAGATATTCAGTTCAAATTTGTCACAGATATGAATCTTTTCAAAAATATAAGTTGAATTCTCAGCTAGCTCAACCATTCAGTAGGTTCAGAACCATAGAAAATCCTTCCCTTTTTCTTTATTTAGGTCTATTTTGATTACAAATCCCACAATTCCCCCATTGCTACTTACTCATTTCCATTAGACTAACAAGAACTGCAAAAAAGGACAGCTATAATGGCAATCACTACAGAACTACACAGACGTGGCAAGAACACTACAGTAAAAATTCAATCTGTACAAAATATATCCTAAAAATCACACTCATATACAGTACATATTGCTAGCCAAAAGGAAAGGAACAAAAACAAAGTCTTCAGTCATGTTGTTTTTGTAAAAAATACCAAAGAAATCTTTAAAAAATAAAAGTTGTAAATGCACGGTTCTTTCCATTAAAGCAATATCCATATGGCTTAAGAGTGCAGTCAATGTGTGCAAAGGCAGTATTTCTTTTCTTAAAAAAAACAACCCCCATTGTTACATTCATACTTCAGGAAAAAAAGCTTCAAGTGAATGTTATTCTGCTCATCAGCAATTTTCAGGACTTAAAACGAAGAACTGATGTCAAGACTGATGGTATTTGAAAACAGATCAGTTCACAAAAACATTTGTACTGTACAACCGACCTTCTGATCCCTCATACTGTCACAAAGAAGGTTTACTTGGAATAAGAACAGTTTATTTGTTTTCATGATCTAACCTATCAAATTACTGGTAGCTCTACACCATCAGAACTTCCAGCATCCACAGTTCCTGTAGAGGATGCACAGACATTGCAAAGGTCTCTGTTTGATGTCTGTCAATTACTGCAGTATCACTTTGATTCCTTTTCATTAGTTTTTTTTTTTAAACTTTTATAGTCATTGTTGTGTCTTCAAACTCTGAAGTGCAATCTCAGGGCTTATAGCTTTTGAAGTGAATTGTGGGTAATGCGATTAAACTTCTCAAATTCATTTGATTTTTTAAAGCAATCTTTTAATTAAAATCCTATTAACAACCCAGACACTTATTCCTTTTTTAAATAGTAAAAAGGATTTCATATGTTTTATATTCTTTTTGAGATCTAGGGTTCGATTCATCTGCTGTGTTCATAGAGCCTTTGAAATAAAACTAATATTCACTCTTCCAAAATAGGGCTGTGCAGAGTGCATTAACATAAATTAAGTGCTGTCAATGACTTTTTCATGGGAACTACCAATATTTACACTGGGCTAACAACATCTTCATTTTGACCCAATTAAATTGGCACTCATATGAACTTAATAACACTAACATCTCTCACATATACAGTATACAGTATAAATAGTATGCACTATGTACTGTATATACTATATATATGGATTAGGTCTTGAAGTATGAAAGAATAGACAGGAATAGTGATATATTTTTGATATATAATGAAAAAAGTACACAACAGCACAATTTAGTATTTTGTCCCCAAAGTGTCTTTTTTTGCCCAAGGCATAACACAATATGTAATTACCAACAATTCACCTCATGTGTTTCCCTGTGAAACTGTCCAAGAGGCCTGGTGGGGTTTAAAGCTGAGGTCCTTTCCTCACATTACCCTGCCCCCCAGTGCAGTCAAGTGCCAGGTCAGACAAAGGAAGAGAAGCCTGTGACAGGAGTCCGGGAGCCAGGAGCAGGCTGTCCAGCTGGGGTGTACACCCCACCTACACTGTGTGTGGTAACAACTGTCTGGTAGTAGTTGTCATTATCCCCGCTCGCACATTCGTCATACACGTAGGCCGAAGACTGTTTCAGTCCCTTCTGCTGCCGTTTCCATGAGTTGTAATAAGTGGGGTCACTCATATAGTGGTTGACAAATGAGTGCTTTGGCTGCTCATCCTCGTAATCACTGTCCGTGGCCTTCAAAATAAAAAATGGCAGGAAAGGTAAGAATTAAACACAGCGCCTCAAGCATGACCCCATTTTTACATAAAAGAGGTTAGTGTGATTATGCTGGAAAATGTTATGTTCAAGGCGCACTTATTTTTCAGATCTTCTCTGTGCCAGATACAAGGGAAGGGAAGGGATTTTTTTCATAATCCTGATGTTCAATTCTAAAGCACTGTCTCACACTTTTGCAGAAAAATCCAACAACAAAAGACAGAGGAAGCTGTAGAAAACAAGATATTTCAAATCTGTATATGCCTTTCTGTTTATTTGTAATTCCAACATTAGCTGTTATCTGCCTGTTTGTTATATTACAGATATTGGGAGGAGATGATCAGTAGAAGTAAGAGAACACTTAACCACCAGAATGTACTTTGTTTTAAGTTTGACTTGTTGCTGAAATATAGGGAGATAAAGTTCTTCTGGAAAAAAATACCTCTGACTCAGAAACCTCTGTAGGTTTCTCAGTGAGTGTGGTGCTCTCTGTCAGCACTGCTCCATTGTAATTGTTACAGATGTCTTCATCCGAGTAATGGAGTCCTCCAGGGCTTGGCCGGGGAGGAGATCTAAAGTAAGAAAAAAATAAGAATTAGTCTTACGTCACGATTAGATGTATGTACATGTAAAACTCAAATTTTAATAACTTGCTTAATACAATTTATAAAATGAATTGTGAAAAAAACTACAAGAATCTAAACTTTGTTCCTTATTTTCTTTAAACTTGTCATCAGTATCTCGCACCTGTAAGAAAATTCTGTGCTCAATAAAAACTTATTTTCATTCCTAATTATTTTAATTTTAAAATACTTATAAAAATCTCAGGTACTTGAAAAAGCATAGGCTTCTAATTAACAAGGTAATGGTCATTGCATATGCCAGGTATCATCGTATCATAGCATCATAGTACCATAACATCAAGTTGCATCATCACATGTTCATACCAATGACATAGTCATTGAATTAATTTAACATTAAATTCAATGCTTTATATAATTGAAATTATTTACAGTACATGTATAGTAGGAGTATAGTATTTTAATGAGCATTAAGGTGGGAAAGAAGAATAGCATTGAAATCAAGATATTGGCTATTAAGCCAATTCAGTTTTTCATTCATTACATCTATGTGGACTGATATAATTAAATAATTGTTCTTTATCTCTTAGTTTCTATGATTAGAGTTCTTAAATTTTATAATGTTTTCAAGATTTTCGCAGTCTCCAATATCATAAATAAGCGGTCAGAACTGATGAGATACACTCTCCTTCAAAGCAACTCTGGGAAGTCTGCCCACAACCTTTGATAACGAGATTTATAACAGAACCCCAAGGGCAAATTTCAATTGTTTACAAGCTGAAAATCTATGTGACTAATGGAACAAGACATCAGTGCAATGTGCAGATACGACAAGTCAAGAGGGTGAGATTCCAGTATTATTGTGCCATCTCAAGCCTCATCCAGGTAAAGTGACGAATGTCTGATCAGAAGTGGCTTGCTCAGTGACTGTGCAGTGTTTGCATCAGTCTGTGCAAATAATTGTTTTTTTAACCAACTCATTACAATCTTCACAGCCCTTTATACTTAAACTGCTAGCACATACTGTATATTAATAATTAACTTTAACAAGCAATGCAACTCTTAGCTAATTTTAAGGGCGACAATGCAAAGCACGGAGTTTAACACTGATTAATGTTTTTCATTTTTCACTTGTATTTAATAATTTTCTCAAACTAAAAACTGTGATGGTATTTTCAATATAATTTTTAAGTAATTTTAGAAACTTTTGCTAAGTCACTCTTTTTGTCTTCCTTTTTTCTGTGTGCTGATCACTTTTCCTTCTATTCTTACCTGGTCCCATTTTTCTTCAAAAATGAACTCTTTACATTGAGGTGTCTGCTGTTGAGCTCTAAGGCTGTGAAGCCTCCATTGTCCAGTGTGACTGACTCCTCTACAGTGGAAATATTTTTACCTGTAATGACAATAACAATAACCACTTTGGTCCTATAGTATATACACATATTAAGGGCCATATCCTTTCATATTATGGATATCATGCATTTCTATAATAATAATCATTCCTTCACTGAAACTTTATTACAGATAGTTACCACAAGGCTGCCCTTGGTTAAGTCCCCACAGGGGCTTTTGATACTAATACATTTTCCTGAGTTCTCACACTGCAATAAATGTGTCCTCTGTAATTGTGTGCTAATGAAGAAGAGCAGAGTAATCATTTCAATTTTAATTAACTTCTTCTGATGTTTCAGGATGTGCTGCTCATCTTCTGAAAATAAAATGCTGCATGTGACACGGAGATATGTTTGTTCCTAAAATGTTTAGAAATCTTTATAAACCACTTCGCTGTAATTTATTACAATTTATTCATGTATATTAAGGGTTTGGTTTCTCCGCTCATAGCAACTGCAAGCCAAACACTCAAGAGCAGTGGTAATATTGAAGACATTTCCCACTGGTTGTGAGGCTTTTTCAGTTGTGACTTAAGTTCTCTTTTGAACAGGATTAGAACATGTATGAGTACTGCCGAAGAGAGGACAGTGCTGAAATTAACATGCATGATATGTAATACAAAGATATAGTCCTAAGTAATCAAAGGAAGACCTTCTGAAAAGAAAGCAACAGATTTTCATATGTCCATTTGCATGGAAACAGCTCTAATCAATTTTAAAAATCCATATGTATTTTTGTAATGTAGCAACTGATGAGAATAATGTCATTGTTTCTTAGCAACATGGATAAAAAGTGCCTCTATTGGCTTTGGCCATGTATATAGTTGCTTTAGTCAAGACTTTTTCTAAATTATTTTTAAGGCTGTGTTTTTTGTCCTTTCCCACTTCTGAAAACTGGCCAGTAGAAGGCTCTTACCTGCATTACAGCTTTTGTATTTCTTGCTCTGGCCATGCAGCACTAAACCAAACACGATGAGGAGGATGAGAATGAGACCACAGAGAGCCATTACAATCAGGAACCACCACTCTTCATAGAAGGGTGTTTCTGACTGGGCTGTTCGGAAAAGAAAGAAATGAAAACAATAAAAAGGCCAATTCTCTTAGCCCAATCTGGCACAGTAAAATTATGTCACTAGATGGCGACAAAGATTTAAATACTACTGCTGTTTATGCGTGGCTTGGACATTTGTGATATTCAATACAATATGCAATTATTGTACTTCTGCTCCACTTTGAATGACTTTAAATCACCCAGATGTATCCACTGGTGCAATGCAATAATGCCTGCTTCCTAGTTGGTACATCACGCAAAGCCTCAGGAGATAGTGACCTTTCAGCTCCCTCCCTCCTGTATACGTCTTGGCCTATCAGGTTGAGCCAACCGAGTAAAAAGGTCAGATGCTAACATTTATTTTTAGACTAAGAAAACCAAAGGATGAACACTTCAATAATGTCATCCTATTTGACTGACAGCCATGATGAAAAGAACTCAAAGAAGGAAAGGGGGTATTACATTTTCTAAGTTTGATCTCTTTACTGATTGATAAATAACTATACAAAAAAAAAATCCTGACCAGGACATACCTGCCTTATTCCCAGTGTATGTAAAAAAACAATGTGGCACAGCACTGAAACTGAACAACCAGATTTTCATTTATAATGATAACACATATCCTCGTATGCCAACAAAATCAGTGCACTCTCACAAATCAATCGAAAGGTCATTTAGCCAATCTATCAGTCAATTAATCTTCAGTCTCCTGAACAACACCACATTCACATTAATCAGAACAGTCTTTTGTTCCCGTATTTGATGATGAACTGCAGTGAATTAAATTTTCCTTTGTACAGTGTTCTCTCCAGAAACCTGCCTAATAATTTCAATTGTAATTCTTACCTAGTCTACTTGGGTGTGCCACAAGAAAAGATTTATCACAATGAGAAAGTGTGGGACAATCCCACTTCAAGAAAAGGGCTAGCTTTCTGACAGTTTAATCTGCCTCTGTGGGCTGAACAAACTTCATTCTGTCAACTGGAGCTGTGACAGCAACACAAATACAAGGAACAGCAAACCCAAAATGAAAATCTATTTAGAAATGTTAATTGAGATGTTAGGGATGAAGCTTTGCTTTAACCTGCTTAGCCATGGATAACCCCAGGCTGTAGGATGAGGAAGTCAGGACTCTAGTGCACAGAAAATTAACTGAGGTGTAGCTGCAAAGATGAGGTGTGGCAGAACTGGAATACACAGAAGATGAACACAAGGAAAAGAAGGGCTCACTTTCATAATATAGCTTTTTGGAAAGTGATGCCATGGAAGATTATGAGTTTGAATAATAGAGATGAAAGAACAGAAAGAATCAATCAGTATTTGTAAGCACATCAATATACTGTAGTAACAATGCTGGCAGGCCAGATTAAAACAGTATTTTCTTCCTTAAGCTAGAAAAATCTTACGCCAAAACAAATTTGTTGCACCTCATGCAGTAGAAAACAAACGTTGCAGTTATCTAACATTGTGCCATTGTCAACCAATTAAATAACATTCATGCAGTTGTAACATGTTTTTGAAGTAGCTCCTTTTCAGTGTGACTGACAGCGATTTAAAATGTCAATAACCCTTATTGAAAATGTCAACCACATAATTTTAACTTGTGCGCTGAAAAGGTTTTAAATAGTTTTTAACTATACTGCAGTGCAAAGCATACAAGTACTGTTGAAATCTGTGAAAACCAGACTGTGTTTACCTGACAAGGCAGCAGAGGGTGCACTGGGCTCACCATAGCCAAACTCATTGACTGCAATCACCCGGAACTCATAGCTCACCCCCTGCCGCAGGCGGTCCACACTGAGTGTGTGAGAAGTGGTGCTGGGGGACAAGTATTTCACAAAGGTATCCCACAAACCCTCATCTGCAAACACAGCAAGAAAGAATATCATGTGCAATGTAAATGTCATCTGAACAGAATTGTATCCCAGGGCATTTCAATTTGAATAACCTCTGCGAAATATTTTGCTTTGTGACTTTAAATAAAACATTACTGACTGTTTTTTTATAACAAAAAAATCGATATAAGCACAACCCTTATGCAGCCAAAATGATCTCCAGTAGGTACTAAAAACAGAACTTAATTAACTCCTACCCAGTAGTGGACCTTTAATGTTACAATCAAACACTGCTGTATAAAAGGGAGTATCATTACAAAGAGTATTGGAGACACAGTAACTGCATTACAGCAGTTACAGCACAGTAACTGCATTACGGGTATGGGTGAATCCTTTTTTGGTATATACAGTTGTGAACAATAGAACCTTCTATATTAAAACATGCTCTGTTAACATTGATTCCTGATTTAATATTGTTATCCCTTAACACAAATACATAAAACATTTGGTTAAAGTGTCTCACCAACATATTTCTGCATGTCACTCTAATAATGTATGGTTTCAGGACTTTTCCAATAGTAACCATCAAAATAGTGAAATTCACAAATTTTCGATTGCCTTCCTAAGGAATACTACTACACTCTAGAGCTTCTGAAAAAAGTTAGCCTTGTGAAAACAAAAAACGGTACGAAAAACTCCTTTTTATTTCATATGTTTTGCGAAATAAATATAGACATCTCCATTTTGGGGTTCTAACAGACATGCCTCAAGTGAAGTGGAGAGGAGTTTTTTACTCACCTGAGGGACGCGCCTCAATGACATATCCTGTGACAGGCCCTGCACCCGGGTCTCCTGCTGACCAATGGATTGTAAGAGTAGAGCCAGACTTTGTGATTGATGTCTCTAAGGGAGAACTGGGCGATCCTGCAGCAGTCAAGCACAGATATACAGTAAAAGTTATGGTGAACAGGACAATATTTTAACTGCTGTGAATAATTTCAAAGCAGAAAGATAGCTTTAATCCTTTGGCAACCTCAAATTATTTTGTTAAATGCCAGAGTAAATATCAAAAAGGTGTTAATCAAGGTTATCCTCACTTTTCTGCCTAGGGGAGGGAGTGGGGTGACATACACAATATTGACACATAAGACCCAATAGCAAAAGTGTCTCAATTGCTTGGTTAAGTAGAGAAACAATCTTTGTTCAGGGTTGAAATGAATTGTACTTAATGACCGCAGAGAAACATGCCACCCTGCAGAACCTCAGTTTTCTAAAATTTTGACCTGCATTCATTTAGGAACCCATGATGCTTCTTAATGGAGCGTGCCGGTCTTTGAACATAAAAGCAAATACTTATGTTCAATTGAATTCACAAGTTTGCAAGGATTACTTTTTAATAGGTATATTCAGCTAGTTGCTGGCTCTTACCTTCCATAGGTCCCGCTGTGATATTAGCCTCCAGTGCTGGCCCAAAGGTTATAGTCTTGGCTTGGACCCGGAAGCAGTAAGTCACTCCTTTGGTTAGATCACGGACCTTCAGCCAGCGCTGCCAGTTGCCCTTGATGTCCACTGTCACAACCTTACTCACGCCTACAGGACATGATGATTAGCTAAGCAACATTACCATAACCATCTAGATTGAAAGGCTACACATGTCATGGAACTGAAACCTTCAAGCTGAACCCTAGACACTATTTTTAAATATAATCAAGATCAGAAGGAACTCCTCTACATTTTGAGGTTCAGTAAGAGCTAGATGGCCACGTGCTCCCAAAATTTGAGCTAACAATTTCACCCTCTCAATTTAATGCATTGTTTTAAAATGCTTTTTCATAATTTTATTGAAAATTCTGAATGATAACTTCGATAAACACAACTGATTGGGAATAGCCACTGTGTAATTTTTATATCTCAGCTCATGGCTACAAATCGTGACCTAGTACACAGGGGTGAATGAGCAAATGAAGGCAGTCTCATCTGACCTGCTGACTTTTGAGCCATCCTTTGTTTTATACAGATTCTTTACACGCCCAAGAGATTGACTACAGCAGCAGAATTTCAAGATAATGACTCTGATGAGGATGAATGTGATGTTTACCATGTATATGTAGCATTGAACCATTTACTGTACATACGTACCATGTATGGGTGCCAAAGGCTCATAGACTACCCGATATCCTTCTATGACTCCATTCGGTAAAAATGGAACTCCCCAGGAGACATTGAGTGTAGTTGTTGTGACCTCAGAGAAGAAAATGAAACTGGGAGCACTGGGAGCTTTAAAAGAAAATAGAGTGTTAAACAAACAAGACAAGGTACAAGAGTACAGAAATATTAATCAATTTTGAAATGTTTGAGAAGTATAATGGAAAAAAAGTCATTACTTTTATAATTATTAGTATTTCTAAATAATAATAATTATAATAATTGTTAATAATTGCTTACACTTATATAGCACTTTTCTGGACACTCCACTCCAAGCGCTTTACAGGTAATGGGAACTCCCCTCTACCACCACCAATGTGCAGCCCCACCTGGATGAGGCGACGGCAGACATAGTGCGCTAGAACGCTCACCACACATCAGCTATTAGTGGGCAGGAGAACAGAGTAATGAAGTCAATTCAAAAATGGGGATTATAAGGAGGCCATGATTGGTAAGAACCAATGGAAAATTTGGTCAGGACACCAGGGTTACACCCTTACTTTTTTCGAGAAATGCCCAGGGATTTTTAATGACCACAGAGAGACAGAACCTTGGTTGCACGTCTCATCCGAAGGATGGCGCCTTTTTACAGTATAGTGTCCCCGTCACTATACTGGGTCATTGGGACCCACATAGACCGCAGGGTGAGCACCCCACTAACACCTCTTCCAGTAGCAACCTTAGTTTTTAGAATAGCTAAAAATATATTATTGCTTTATTAAAAAACATAGTTCTGCTAGGTATCCGATAAAAGGTAACATGGTCAACAACATTCTGTTGTGGCAAAATGAACACCTTCTCCATGACAGTTTATGTATGCCACAGAGCAGGGGTATCAAACATGGTTCAGTCTGGTCTACCAAGCTCATACTGTATATTCAGCCTGTGGGGCAAGTTCATTCAGAGCCATGACCATGATTCAAGTTGTTCTTTGTTAGAGCCTGCATAGCCCACACACCAAGTAGGCTAGCATGGTGATGCTACTGTAACTGTCTTGTATGCACAGCACTCCCTGTGGACTCTACCACCATTCAATCATAGCGCACTTGTTTGACAATTAACCTACATCAGATCTAGTAATAGATTTATTCCATGCTGAAAAGAGAAGAAAGAAAACACAATGTTTCGGCTGTGGAGCCTTCTTCGGGTGTAAGGGTGTATCCCTAAGGCTTGATCCTTTGCAGCCTACGCATGCTGACGCACCTACCCACCTAAACTACATCAGATCTAGTCTGACAGAGGTGTCTCTTTGCATGAGAATGGTGAGGTAAAATACAGTAGTGACAGTAAAATCTGATAATTTCTTTCTAAACTTCTTAAAATGTTCCTCAGATTCTGAATTACCATTAGTCTTTAAAGTCTTTTACCATTTCAAATGCATGTTTTTGGAACATAACAACAGACTCAGATTTAGAATTATGTTATAAAAGAAAAAAAAGAAATATAAAGAATGTTGTGTTGTTCAAAAGACGTGTCATCACTGGCTAAGTGTTAGTCTTATCAGGCTCCTTCAAGATTTTACAGGAGACACTGATCACTAATTGCACATCCTGGTTAACTCTCATCTCATTTCTACAGTTTACCCACTGATATATTGATACCCTAGAGCTGATCAGCTGGCATTACTACCCTGACCCCTCTCCTTACCATATGTTTATGGAATATAGTGAATATGCAGTGACTGCTTATTACATTGTAAATTCACCATCATTGTGGATTCTCTAGGTTGTGTTTGTTTTATATGCAACAGGTAGCTTTTTCCAGAGAGCAATAGCAATAGTTGCAGAAATAATTCATTATATTTATGTATCTGTAATAGGATTCAAGATTTTCTACGTTTATTTTTTGTCATAAAATGACCCTTTAACCTTGCCTTTTGCCGATTCTGGTTTCGAGTTAAAAACACTCAAAATTTGCTACTTATAAAACAAAACAAGCTGTCATTAGCTGTCATCACAGCCAGCCGCTTAGTGTTAAGTCTCTCAAACAGAGATAAAAGGCCATTCAGATCTCTGATCCCAGGGCCTGTCTCACCTGCATTTCAGTCCTGTATTAACCAATTACCAACAAGTATATACAGTACATGCATTTATTTTTTACTGTTGCTGAACAAGGTGTCCTGGAAATATTCTTTTCAACAGAACAAAGACTTACGTGCTGCAAAAACAAGGAACAAGGAAAAACAAAGGAACAAAAATTCAAATCAAATGGGACCTGCTATAGCAAATGAGTTTTATATCCCTGCCAAACAGACTATCAACATAGGACTAGAGCAGTGGCCACTTTCAATAAACCTTATAAACCTTATAAAAACAATAAATCTTATAATATTCAGTGAACCTAAAAGTCACCCCCCAGTTTTCCTTATTTTTTATTTATTGATGTCTGGTCCTTGGTAGATCTGCCTTGCTTATTCAGGAAACTAGAGTGATGGTGCATGACTTGACATTTACTTTGCAATGTCAACCTTACTTTATTAATGTTAGCTGACGATAAATTATCACTCATTATAACTTCCTATTACTGGCTCCATTTTTTCTGATTTGCTACCCTTCTGCAAAATGTTTTGCAGCCTTCTGTTTCATTGCTACTTTACATAAACTAAGAAGAGAGATTATTAATAGAAAACAAAATCTAGCAAGGCTTCTTAGGTTTTGCACATTCATTAAAGCCATATTTTGCAAAATACACCTTCTGAAGGAAGGAAGAACGGAACATAATACCAATATAAACCCCTAATTTTATTCTAAGATTCATAATGTCAGGCAAAATGATTAGTATTCCTAACTTTCCTCCTTTCTCGTATTGGTTTCTATTCACATGACTGACAGTGTGTAAATGGAACCTTAAGTTTCCTGTGTTCAGTGGGGAGGGGAGGCAGTTTCCCCTTTTCTTCAGTGTAAATGCCTAAGGCTTGCCCTAGAGCATTTGAAACAGAATAGGATGTACAGAAAAAAAAATACAGGACATTAATCTGTTGGTTCACACAATCAAAACCCTGTTTTCTGAGGTTTCCTGTAGAAGTGCATCATGTCTATGTTTCCAAATGATATCTTTTGTTGGCTCTTCACAGCCAAAACACAGATGGTTATCTGATCTCAAAAAAAGTAAATTTTGTTGAATAAAGCAGACTGTGCATATTGCATGTGACTTAAATTTATGGTGTGATGGCACTAGGGGTGTTATTTCAGATGTGCAGTACTTTCACAGGTGTGTCATAGATTTTTTTTAAGTTTCTCAGTTTCTCAAGATGGCCACAGAAGGAAAAAGGTACATAAAATGGATGGGTGACATAATCCCTGGAACAAGGCACAGGTGCTGCCCTATTCTAGGTAATATAAAATGACTGCTAAGCTGCTGGAAAGGAGAATCAGAGAGGAAATTACAATGAACCAAAGAGGAAGTCTGCTAAACTGACAAGGCTGCACTGTGTTGTAAACACTTCTGTCCTTTACTCAAAAACCTGAGAAGTTAGAAAAGAATGCTTGGAATCAGATGGAAGGTTAAACTTTTTGGAGTAAACAAACTCCAAAATAATCTAGATTACCAACTTGCTGTGTTAAAACTGGAGAAAAAAAACAGGGAAAAATAAACAGAAACCAAAAGGAGCTGAGAGACAGAGTGCACCTGCTCTTAAGGAAGGAATACGAAGAACTCTAATCAAGCAATGACAGAGAGATGAAAACAAATTTAGAAACATGGCTGGAGACCTGAAGCTATGAGCCGGTGGAGATTTATTTTTATTTTTTTAACTTGCTAAATATGGCAAACTGTTTTCTTTTGACATATCTGGAGCAGAACAGATACCCCTGATATTAAGTAGAACACTGAGTGAGTTAGATGCTCAACCCACAAGCTACGTAGGTTTAGTTTAGTTGTTTTCTTTTTGCTTGATAAATAAAAGCCTTAATTGTACAACTGGTGTGGGTCTGTTTTGTCTTTGGACTCATCTGTTTTTCTCAAGCATTGTTGTCTTGTTTCCACTTTACTGCAATGTTTGTGTGTTTTCAAATTGTTAGGACTAGATAGATGGATAGGTAGATGGATGGACAGACAGACAGACAGACAGACAGACAGACAGACACCTTATTGATCAGTCGTGGAGCATTATCCTTGTCCAGAAAAGGATAACTCCACGGCTGAAACGTTGTGTTTTCTTTCTTCCTTTTTTTCAGCATGGAATAAACCTATTACTTGTTCCTTTGTAGCCTACACATGCTGATGCAGCTACCCACCTTATTGATCCTGTGAGGAAAATAGCAGATATGGTCAAATATGGCTAATATGGTCAATATGGTAGAGATTGGTGCCCAAAGTGGACCCTGAAAAAAATCCCTTCCACGAATGCTAGGCAAATCTTATTGCTTATGGAAAATCAACTACAGAATGGACTACAGATAAGCAGAATGGGTGACTTTTGCTTATAAACTTTCTAATATTTAGATCAATTTAGTTGTGAAATAAGCAAATGCCATATAACTCATTACTCTGGTTTCCTCCCCACTGATAACTGTTGTGTGGTGAGTGTTCTATGGCTGCCGTCGCATCATTCAGGTGGGGCTGCACATTGGTGGTGGTGGAGGGGAGTCCCCATTACCTGTAAAGTGCTTTGACTGGAGTGTCCAGAAAAGCGCTATATACATGTAATCAATTATTATTATTATAATTTATACTCCCTATCAATCCAGCCATCATTGGGAGCGCAGTGTGCTCATTCTGTACATCACAAAGGGCAGAATTAAGCCTTAAAATGGGGATCACTTATGAAGTTGTATCAACGCAACTCCTAACAGTACTTACCTGCTTGAAGAGTGCGGCCTTTCCTGGGCTCACTCAGCGGTCCATCCCCCGCTGCATTGAATGCCGAAATCTTCACTGAATAGGAGGTGTAGCTGGTCAGATTCTTCAGTCTCACTGTTGTTTCTGGGAGGAACAGGATCTTCACTTTCTCTGTCTCATTCTGATTGTCATTCTCCCAATAATGAACCTGTTTTATATTCAGAAACAATCAGCAATCACAAAAAGGGCCACTTTCAAATAAAATCAAGGGTACCAAATTATCCTTATCACTGAATGCACAGCATTTCATCTTCATCCATATATTTTCAGTCTTTACTGAAAAAATTCTACTTTCATTTCAGTCAGACAGAAAGAGGTAACTGGAAGGCCCATGTACAATACTAGTGAATTCTAATCTGTAGGTAAGAAACCATTATTATCACATCAGATTTAATTTTAAATTTGATTTCCAATAATCCTTTATTTCATCATTCTTTTCCTAAAAATATAATAATATTCCTAACAATGTCTACTGCACATACAATATGTCTTAAATTGTCTGAATAGTAAGTCTAGGCTTTACTTGAATAAGCAACTGAAATTATCCTTTTCTGGACAAAGCAGCTTTGCTTTATGTTTCTAAACCAGCTTATTAAGTGAGCAACAAGTAATCAGCAGTGTAGTAAGTTATTTGGATTCACTCTTTAAATTTACCATTCAGTTATAATATTAAGCACAAGGTTATCTTTTACCCTCCAGACATAGTGCTTTGTGAAACATTAAACAACAAATTGACTGCAATAAATTCTGCAATTCAGGAAAAAACAAAACAACACAAAAAAGAAAGCACATGAGCAGAATTCTGATTAGGAAAGAAAAAAAACAACCACAAAAAAACTTCAATGTTATTTTTTCAATACGTTTTCACATTCCTGGAATGCTACCAGAGAGACATACTGTAGCAGTATTAAAATAAAAAAAAAAAAACTCAACTGAAAACTATATTGACATCCTGACTCTGGTGGTTTTAAAATTAATATCAAAACAGATATTATAGTTCAATCACAATAAATTTTAAGCATATAAATGCTATCTGAAACTACGTATCTTCTTGACATTTGATGTAACATCAGTTTATTCTAGCCATTATCTGAGATTACAGAGAACACTCATGACAATTCACTCATTCTTCATATGCAGAAAGATGTTCGTGCCACTCAACATCCCAGACAGCCTCCACTGTCGGTGCTCACCTTGTATCCCTGGATGTTCCCATTTTGGGTTTCTACTGGAGGAGGCTCCCATATCACTTCCAACTGGGTTGATGATAGTGAGTTGACCTGAATATTCTGTGGTGCTACTGATGGTGCTGTAAAAACAATGGCAATTTTCACAAAACAAACACTAAAGTCAGCCTGCTCTATAAAATGGTATTCGTTGCATTCTGAATTGTACTTTGTATATGTGTGCATAGGTGCTAAGGATAATCTAAAATGTCATACTAGAATATAGAATACTATACTCCAGCATCCATAAAAACATAAAGAGAGACTATAAAAGAAATGAATGCAATAAAACCATTAGAAGTCTTGCTAAGTATTCATACAGTATATCACTGTTTCTGTACGTTTTACACACAGAAAATGATTTCAAATACTCAGTTGAATGCTTGTGCTATACAGTACACCTCTGCCAACTACAAGGCAGCAGCCTTTATATGAACATAAATGTTCCTTTAGGTCTCTGTCCTTCTGTCAGAGATCTTTTATTGTTTGCAACTGTAGGTTTCTTGCTCCACCTTCTGGTAGCGAAACCAATGCAGGTAACTTTGTGACCTTTCCGCTAAGACAGTTATCAAAGACAAAAACATTGTTGCATGGGTACACAGATCTGAGCAAATGTTTGTACATTTTAGGATGTGAAAGCTCATGGGTTGCTTTTAGTCCAGTCTGTGCTGCTCTTCATTCTTTATTAGCTGCTCAACAGCACACTATGCACACAGTACAGACTGAACAATATTTTAAAGCATACAATGGAACAAATAAGTTAAAAGGTCCAATAAGTCATAAAGCAGCAAACACTAACTTAAAAAAGTAATGTACAGCAATGCTCTTTACTGTGTGGTACATCTGATATTGATAGATTCTATGAGTGGGCAGCTGGTGAAGATAAAAAGAAAAGTGAGACTGATGTTCAGACAAAGATGAGTATGACTATCATTTTTTGAAAGTTCCACCCTTTTTTGAAAACATTCACAGTTTAACTCCCATGACAAGTGACCATGCATTTTCATTTGTAATTTGCTGAGGCATCAGAGGGAATTGTTAATACAATTAATAAAACAAGAATGTTCTTAGCCTTCCAGCTGTCATAAGCAACAATTAATTGATGGTTCTTAAACACAGACAGCATTTCTACACACCCTCTCAAAATAAAAACGACAAAAGAATTGAGACCAGAAAATTGACATGATTGGAGATTTTAAGAAAAGTCTGTAAATTAAGCCTAGAGCGCTTTTCTCTTCCTGAAAACTAAGAAACAAGAAACAAATTGCAGCTGTTTCAGACAATATGTATGAAAGTACACCAATTATTACCAATTAAAACATCCAAAGATGATGAAAAGCGCCAAAAATAATACATGCTTTGTTTCTTCATGAATCTAGTCATTTATAAATTAAAACATATTTTAAAATCCCAGTCGTAAGAAAAATGCTGCAAATTTCAAAGAACTCTATTGCCTTCTGAAATTCCTGAAAATCATGAATATTTTTTAAAACATATTCCCCATAACAGCAGATCAGATTAAAGATGTAATTGTACTTTTTCAGCCTTGGGATGCTTTATTTGTAAAAGTACTATTCACAAATGAATTTAATCAATACTATGCTTATTTATCAATGTCATCCTTGCAAAGTTTATCGAACACTGATTCATCCTAGTGAGCAGGAATGAACATTTCAGGTAAATGAGTTCCAGCTTGGATGCCAATACCTTATTCTGCATCTCATACACAGACAATGATACAATATGAATAAGACAGGTAATCTAAATATAAAGTTAAAAGTACTAGTCATAGCAATACTCAGGTATATGAATACTGAAAGTTCACTTGAGGCCAAACACTATTTTAAATTTGCACTATAAGCCTTGAAGGATAGTGTAAGGTTTCATTGTGGATTCTTAACTGAAGGAAAGAGTTAATCCTTCAGTATCAGGTGCAGCCATCTGGAAACACTACACTGTTGATCTATTGCCCCTTAGTGTTTCTTCCCAATTACACAGGTTTAAACAAATAATTATACACAGCAGGCTTCCCAGCCTATCACCTAGAAGATGCCCTGTGTGGCTTTTGTGATTAGTCTACAAAAGGCTATGAGTCACAGGGGGGACAAGCCACAATGTGCAGCTCAGCTTACAGGTTCCATCCGCACAGTGAGACCAAAGACGGTGAATGTTTGTTAGTAAAATAAAATGGAAGGACAATTCTTTGTACATACTAATAGAGGAACCTGCTAGGGATGACCTTCACCAGTTATAGAATTGTTTTCCTTTCTTCACTTTTCTTTAGCCCTATAACTGACAGTAATTATCACGCAATGAACCTGTCAGGGAACTATTTGTTTTGCTCTAACTCATGTCTTTCCTCACCATTATCTCCCAGTCTTCCCTGCTCTAATGAGGATGTTAATGACCTTAGCCAGGTTGCTTTGCCAGCTGCTTCAGTTCATTATAAAAGATTCATATTTACTGCTCCGTTAAACTCCACACCATTGCTAAAAAACAAGTTTCGGAGGAAAAAAAAACACTTTCCATTCAGTCAATTGTTGAAATATTAGAAGTCAATGAACAGAGATCATAACTGCAGAAGCAACTGGAGTTTTTGTAATCTACAATTTTCACATTAATTTGTCTACAGTTTAAAAGACAATAAAATAGAATGGCACATATTTGGTTGTTTTTCATTTCTAAAGTTAGGAAGGCATTAATGCACAGTAATTAGTCCTCACACTGAATTAATCGTCTTTAAATAACCTTTTTTAACACTAGGCAAGTGGAGTTATGGGTGCAGGATAATTTGCAAAATACTACTACTAATAAGCTCTATGCAATCATATTAGCACTGACATCAGTTAGATTTTAGATTTAAATTTGGGGATACATAAGGAGAAAGATTTCTATTGTGTTGCTAACACAGTCTGTGTAGTACTGTATTCAGATAAAACCATTCAACATTGGGTATATATTGGAAATGTGAACAGAAATAAAGCACTTCTCTGTATTGCAGCTGGATACCACTACAGTACTCACTTCGGTGCACTTAATTATATCTAGTTTATAGTTGGGATCTTTGGAAATCACAGTTTATTTTTCAAAACAGTTAGCCAATTAATTCCACTTACTTCCATTTGACATGATACAAATTGCAATTTCTTTTCAACTTTGTTTCTTATGTCTATTTCATTTAATGGTTTCTATATATTCTTTAATAATAGTACTGATAAGAAGTCAGATCTAATTTCAACATCATTTTATATTTTTCATATTCTTAATTGGCTCTAGTAATTCTGTTTCATTATGCTCTACATATCAAATGTGCAGCAATTCCACTGCTATGAATGGATATCCTGCCAGATATAATTTGGCTTTATGAATTTAGATGATACATTGTAAGATAGTAGATGTTACTAAAAAGTTTTCTGGAAGTTGGGCTAACAATTTGAAAATAACAAAATCTAAAGATAAGGGGACTATAGGCATTAGAGTTAAACCCTTATATAAATAAGCCATTATTATATTGTGTTCGATATTTTAAAAAGGTCCAATTTAATCTTAATATTATAAAAATTATTACTAATATTTTTGGTATGTATTGTAGTTAGTGCTTTAAACAAAACTAAAACATGTGGTAACTAGAAAATGTCACAACCTCCTGCATGTTAAGTCATTTGCTCATTTTTGCATGTACCTATTGCACATGATTGTAGCATCTTGTATAGCAGTTACAAAGGGATTATTCAACTACTATGCAGCAACATTCAAATAAAGAGTTTGCCATTTTTTTATTTGAACAACATTACTGATTGTTTGATAATTTGGAAATTGATGCTCATATTTTTAATCATATACATTACTAATTAGCTCCAGTCACAATCCCTATATTGTAGTTACTCTTAAAACCAGATATAGTCTTCTACTATTTTTCTGACTCAGCGTGGATTCAATGATCTGGAATTTTAAGGGACAACTTCCAATTTTAATTCAAAATCTAATATGATTTAATATGAATCTAATAACATTCAATTAAATGGTTACTTCCTTGAGCACATACAGTCTATAGATATCACTCTCTATGTGTTCAGTTTAAATATGATGGTTTATTTTATTTTCACTGACTTGTACATATTAAAACATTGGAAAAAGTAACTTGCTGAAAAGCACACATCACATGTCTTGTGTCACAGTCATAACCATAAAAGAACAGAAAACAAGTACACATTCCAGATACACAATTTGTATTTTATAGACAAACACAAGAATGGGCATTAAACAAAAATAAAACACTAGGCAAATGCCTGGGAAACTGGGAAATGACATTTATTGTAGACAAAGGCTAAGTGTGTAGAAAAAACAAAAGCTTTTAAGATAAGATGGGTAACTTTACATATGTTGTTTTATCATTTTCCTGTACACAACGCAGGGAACTAATACAAAGGCAAACATAATTTTCAGATATAAAATGTAGAATTTAAATCAAGGTGTGCTATACTAAATTTGTCAAATGCACTATGACCTCTTTGTAATTTTTATGTTCTCCCCACATTCACGTGGGTTTCCACAAACAGTCTAAAGCCATACTAGTAGGTTAATTGGCTTCTGGGAAAACTGGCCCTGGTGTGAGTATTTGTGTGTTTGTTTCTGTGATGGACTGGCGTCCCTTCCAGGGTGTATCCTGCCTTGCGTCTGTTGCTTGCCAAGCTCTGGCTCACCCACAGCTCTAAATTGGATGGAGCAGTTAGAAAATGGATGCATGTTTTCACACACAAAACTGTGTGAGTGTCTGGAAAAAGCTACCCCAGTCATGCTGTCAAAGCTGGCTTCTTTCAAGAAATGGCTGACTGAGACCTTTGGATCAATTATTTTCTAGTAATCAAATACTGGGCTGAATAGTCACCTATGTCCTTATTTGCAAATTGTAAGTTACATCTCAAGTCTAAGTTAACACTTCACCTGTTTAATCATAAGATGACAAAGAACATACATACCATCCTCTTCTCTGTTTTTGCATGAAAAACACATTTTCCATCCAAAAAGACTCATTATTTAACATCACAAATATGGCATCAGTTGAACACCAAGTGAGAACAACCAGACCCCAAACTAGACAGGTTGCCCTTACTGTAAATGGCTGGGCAAATGCCAGGATACCGTCAGACCATGCTGAAATGAGAAACCTGCCCCAGCAGAACAGAAGGTCACTGTGTGGGAGGAGGCTGTGCACATTTTCTGCCTGACAGCAGAGCAACACCACCAAATCACAAATCTAGAAATGGCAACATATAAAAGCCAAATGGACAATTCCAAGTTCCAACCTACAGTAATTAAACGAGAAAACAAATATTCTCTAAAATGAAAGCTTTATGAACTGTACTAAGAACTAGGAATATTATAGAAGGGAACTATACACATTTATGAAGTGTGCTTGAAATCACAAAAAAATACGTCCTGTGTTTGGAACAACTAGACATACAGTATATTCATACCTAAGGAAAGTCTTCAGGACAATCTTGTTACAGAAAGTAGAAAATATCCAACTTAGACCATTGGTATTAAGGGGAGACAATTTTTCGTACCCTACCTGCTTCTCCCACAAATACTTCCACGGGGGTACTGGAGGGGCTCTCGCCAATTATGTTGTATGCTGTCATCACTATTTCATAGCGCTTGTATTTGTTGAGCTCTGAAAAAAACCAACATCTTTTATCACTGTATTCTTCAAATAGGCTTTTGTTTTAAAAAACTTAAACTGCTAGGGAGCTTAAAAGCCAGTAATGCTACAGCAACAGCAAAAGCAAACAAGTTATTTAACATTACTCTAAAACATCTTTGTCTTCAAATTATCAAAAACATCTTCAGCATCTCATGTGCCACATACAGTATGTATTAGCTCAAAAAGAGAAGATTATGACCCTGCTTCCTAACACAAGAGCAAATATAATTTTGCTAACATGGTATTGATGATAATTCAGTAGTACTAAAAGTAGTAAGTTCTCAAATTCTAGATTTAGGAAAATTATGAAACTCTCAAACTTGTGGTTCGGTATTACAAACTCAGGTTTAATACACCTAGCAAACTTAATTTTATGATTATTGTTATGAGTTTGTGGTGTTTCTCACTAAGAAAAACTACTGTACAGTAGGTGGACCTGTGATTTTTTAAACAATAATCTCTGAGTTGTCTTATGGCTTCAATGACCTCTGCTGTAAAATTTTGTTTTACATTATCTTTCATAGATCTACTCTGCCTGCAGGAAACCAAGGCATGCTAGGATGATCCCAGATCTTCACACGATATTCCGATTAAAGATAGTCTTTAAGACAAAAACAAATATTTAACACGCCTCAGCCCAGTCGGGACATATAATGACATTACCGAAAGCAGACTCATCTCAGTAAATAGGACAGATGTAGGGTTGTCTGCGTGGACTGCTGAGGTTTCTTTGGTTTGGCCATCACATGCTATGAGTTCTAATTCATACTCAGAAATTGTGTGACATGAGTTAAGAAGTTAGACAGCTTGTGTTTGGGAACAACAAGGCCAGTCTTCTTTTGAGAGACCAATTAAAAATTAAAAACATACTGTAGTAAGATAGCATTCACAAAATTATATTTATGTCATTTTATATTATATTAAGTCATTAATTAATTTATTATCTAACCTAACCTAAAAGCAAATGATGTGGAAAAACAAAAAAAATGTTTAATGTATTGGCTATAATTCAGCATCATAATATTACTGTTTCTAAAGTTAGTGAGACATATATTTTTTACAAAAAGTTAGTTGCTATATTTTGCCTTGCTCTGATTCTTAACCTCATATGCAAAGGGGAATGGGACACACCCCATCTAACAATCTGCAGGCTAAATTGTTCTGTGCTCTCTGACAAAGCAGGCAAATTAAAGGAAATGCTTGTTAACACAGAACAGTGTGTGTATTGGGATTACACATTTTTGCTGGAAGGAGCATGAATATTTTGTTAAACTTCAAAGAAAAGCACACTTACAGAGATCGGCAATTAAAAGAAACTTACGTGTTAGCTCAAATTCTGTTAACAAAGCACTGCTCACAGTCTTGAAAGTGCTTTTGGCTATGTAAGGCAAACAAAGGAAGAAGAAAACAAGACCTTGTTATACTTTATTAAAGCACCGGTATTCAGTGGAAGACAGCTTACAAATGGAAGACAATATTGGGGCGCAAACTTAAATCTGTAGTGCAATTAAAATATTCACTGCAATTCAGCAAACAGTGTTAATTAAGAAATGCAGTTTAAGGTGAATCAGGATTTCCACAACTAATGAAATAGTACCCAGCAACAACTTCAGGAGCTTACATGTGAGCTACTTATGACAATAAATTCTTTTCAGCAACAGGTGTCTGAAGAGTTAGGCCTTCTAGAGAGTCACCTTCTCTAAACTCCTTCAAATCTAGACTCAAAACCTTCTTCTTCAGTAAAGCCTTTAAATATGGTTCCATTCTTCACCCCTCTGCTCTTCTTAATACCACCTTCCACAGTCTCCTCTATTGTTATTGTTGTATTGTTGTAATTATAATTGTGTCCTATCTTGTGAGATCTTCTTAATTATTGTTGTAGTCTTCTTATTTATTGTTATTGTCATCCTGTAAAGCGCTTTGAGAAGCCACCTTTAAAGGAGCTATATAAAATAAAGTTTATTATAATTATTATTATATTCTAAATTCCTATGAAATAAAGATATCTAATACTAAACAGAATGTAGTGGTAGTGAGTGTTGTAGCCCCAATCCAATTATTTAGACTGTACCAGCAACCACACTGTACTGGGTCTTCAGAGCATCTTATTTACAGAGTGCCTCCATGTGCAATATACAAGCACTTTCCCAAGAAGGGATACATTTTTCTCATATTTTAAAGAATGCAGAATAGAGCAAACTCTCAAATATGGTATTGTTTACTTCATCTGCAGTTCAAGTTATCTACAGAGGGTATTTTTACTTAATTGTTTTCTGTAGTGTTCAAAACATGAATTCCAAAACCTACGTCTTTATTTTAACTCCTACCTATTGTATACTGTATGCTATATTTTAAACAACTGTTTAGCACACGAGACTAAGGATGTGCTCCAGATTAAGCTTGCCTAGTTAAGGGTAAAGATTTGATAATTTACCTCCAGTAGCTAATTGGTATGTATCTCACACATGGTAATTATTTTTAAGCTAAAAATTAAACTATATTGCGATTTGGCAATGAAGTCTGCAAATGCATCAGCTAATTAACACTTCAAAGTCAAATAAATAAACCTAGGTTTATATGCTTGTTACAATACAACCTATCAACAAATCTGGAGCATGTGTTAAAGCTAGTTTGGGTGAAAACATATTAAGCCTCTATAGTGTTTTTCACATTAAGCTTCTATAGTGTTTTTCTCCTTCATTGTTTTTTTTCTGTTTTCTTTGTTGAGACCTATATCAAAGCAATGGAAAACATCCATAGATACTCATAGTCTATACTCTTTGACAGTGCAGTCTTCAAATACCGATCGAACAAATACTGCTAACTGAACATTATCACTTGAATCCACCAATTCATCATGCTGAACTGAGAATCATTGACCAGTTCGCATTATCCTACTCTAACTGCTCTCTTACCTTGGCTAGTAGAAATGCTTTCTGCATTGTGTTCTGGCTGCATGTCTGAAATAGCAGACTTGATTTCAGGAATGTTTTTGTAATTCTCAAATAAAAATGTGTCCATCACAGTCATTGCACCCTTAACAATTTCACTGTCTGTGAACATTTTTTTTAAATCAAATGGAGCCACAGTTAAAGATGTTTCTGTTGGTGTATGGTTTAATGTTGTTGTTTAATGTTTTTAAAACCAGTTTGGTGAGCAAAGATTGCTGCCTTTCCAATGTAGCTTTTGGCTCATTTACTTCTTCAATCTGCTTGCAATGGGAAAATCCTGTTCAAATCTCTTTTGAACTGTAGTGAAGTAAAATGATTCACTCCACATTGCATCTTTTCCTGACAGCAATACTTACATCTCAGATTAAACACACAAACTTGACAATTTAAAAGGGTAAACAAAAAGATAAGTTTGGAATTTTGCCTACTCCTACCATCCAACCAACAGACAGTGTTTATTGTTTTAAAATTCCACTGATATAGCTGAACGTTGTCCTTAATATTTACTGGATCACAACTGACAGATATTTGTTATTTAATTTGTTATTTTTCACATAAATTATATTACAAGGTTCCTTTGAACTGGGAAATGTAGAACAGCATTCCTTGTGGAAAAATTTGCACAGATACTTACAAAAGATAGTGTCATAGACACTTAGGAAACCAACAAATGTAATACCTTTAGTAAAGTAGTAAACCAAAATGATAACTAAGATAAACAAGAACACTACAATGAAATAAACTCAAAACCTCACTGCCTTTTAAAACAATCATTCTTATATAATTAAACCTAGGCAAAAATTGATAAGGTTTACTGACATAAGTGATGTTTTTTAACATTAAAATCAAGGTTTATTTTAATTTATTTGATCATATCTCTTAAAATTATTTTTTTTGTTTTGCAGCTCAGACTATTTTAAGGGCTACATTCTTCCCCTGTTATTAACCTTGCTGTCTAATCATGTCTTAGTAAGTAACAGCCTTGTTAGGGAGATCAAAATAACCTCTAAAATCTACTCCAGTAATGAGTTTCCCTCCCACAGAAACTTACTGCAGTTTATAACAATCTGTGTAAAACCTGATGAGACCCGTGCTTCAATGCATTAAACTAAAGGTAACTGCAGGGGCCTTTTAATTAACTTTTAGTAAATATTAACATGCAGACCAAACTTAAAATAACAACTGGAAATTGGGAATGTTAACAGGAGATATGGCTCAGAAATAAGACATAAATGCCAGATTTGGAATTAGGAAGAAACATAATCAATGTTTTGGGTCTATAGAGAGACAATTTACACCATTTGTATTAAGAGATTATGGTTTCCTACCTGTTAATTCGGCTCGCAGTGCAGAATGGTTGCCCACTGTTTTGGAGTCTGACTGAACATTCTCGTATGGCAGCTCTCGGTAATAAATACGATATCCTATCAGAACTCCATTCAGACTGTCATCCTTTGGGCGCTGAAACATTCAAAAGCCAAAGGTCAATCTAAACATATACAGTAGGCCTGGGATTCCATAAAAAAACTTTCTTTAACTCCAACAATGTGCTTGATTCCTCAGAGCGCTTGCTTTGTAAAGCTGTTAAAATAGAAGACATGTTATGATGCAGTGGCATGGTAATTAGCACAGCTGCTTCACAGCTCCAGGATTCTGGGTTTGCTTCCAGATCAGGCCACTTGCCTGCTTGCAGTTTTTTGTGATTTCCCTGCATTTGTGGGTTTTTGCTGGGTGGTCCAGATCCTCTTACTGTATCTCCTAAAGAATTGGAGGTTAGGTTTTACTACCTACTGTAAAACTGTCCTTTTCCGGGAGGAAAGTATTGGTTTCAAGGGGACTTCATAGGTGTTTTTCTCATAATGCAGCCAGTGATTGGCTAGGCATGGGACTATAAAGCAAATCAACTGAACATGGTGGATTGCATAACCTCCTCTTCTTTGTGGTCATTCAGATAAATGAAGAAAAACAATTTGGCAATGAATGTGTAACAACAGGAATTCACATCCTTCACTAAGGATAAAATAATTGGCACATAATTTGCTTTGATGTGATGTGATATTATTTGATGATCAGACCTAAAAATACAAAGTACATGGAAAAGAACTGGCAAATTGAAATCAGAGCTGATCTCAAAAAGGCATGTGAAGGAACAATGAGAAGACCCTGAGAACAACAAACTTGTTCTAAGTCAAAATAAATCCTGAGTTTGGAATTCTACTTCATAATGATTCCATACCATTTCTCCTGCTTAAGATTGCAAAAACTTTTAATGCAGTAACAGATGACAGTAATGTGATGCTCTCTTGTGAAAACACAGGCACAGCATGAGATTGATTGTTTATTAGTTTTATATGGAATGAGATAATAACTTGGTACATGCAGAAATTCTGCTTTTGATTACATATAACCTTAGGAGCCACATTTGCATTTTGACAGAAAAAAAGATGTCAGGAATTCTCAAGATTATTTGAGTTTCGTTAATCAAACAACATACCATTCATATAGTTGGTAGTGCTGTTGTGTACAAGTGCTAATTTTGCAAAAATATACTGTAAGATATGTCATGAATTAAGTTTAAGTGCCAATGCAGTCTCTGCTAAGTAAACTCGTTTTTGGAGAAGGACATATTTGTTAAATGGTGTAAACCTCAAAGTTATTTATAACATATCACATACTGTATATACAGTTTGGAGCAGATTGTGTAGATCCTACATATAAAAAACACTTTAATGACATCACTGCAAACTTTGACAACAACAAAATGTGAAACTTTGCAGTTGATAAGATTTTACGACGCACTGCAGTATACAGTATGTTACCAGTAACATCATATGTTATTTCATAATGTATTATAAGCATGACAATGAAGATCGCTTCATGTACTGTATTCAGTCCTATAACAACTAATCGATATATGATCTGAATTAAATATGTGAAAGACCAAGTCACTAGGCAATTAGCAAATTCCATTTTAAAATTAATTAACACAGTGAAGCCCTCAGTTCTATTGATAAGACAATCACATTAAGGAAAGACAATCTAAGACTCTGTAGGTCAATGGATAAGGGCTTTTACAGCTAATTAATGCTCTTTTTAGAATGTACTTTTAAACTGAATGTCTGCACATTGTACATTAATCACATTAGGCTAGTGGGATCCTTTAACTGCATGTGTATATCATCACCTTGAACACCGAGCTGCCAGAACTTCCAAACAGTTAAACATATTTCTTCTTATCCCTTTTCATTAAACTTACTAGTTAATCACAGGAACATGCAAAAAAAGCAATGGAAATAGACAGAGCCTCTTTTTTTCATAATGTAATCCCAGGAGAAGTTTTGGCTTTATTTTCAACAAAAGATTACAAATGTCTGCAAATGAAACAAAGTTTACATTTCTTATTCCCTCTTTTTACATTACCAGACAAATAAAAAAACAAAGAATTAGACTGATAGTTTAAATTGTAAGACACTTTGTTGATATTTATATTTTAAAAACAAATTGCATGGTGAAGATTTGTATTCTTTCATTATTATGCAAGTCACTTGCCACGGAAGTTCAGCACTGATCTGTTGTGTTGTGAGAGATGTGACCATAGTACCCTACCTGCCATCGAACCAGGACAGAAGTGGTGGTAGAAGGCTTTACTGCCAAAATAACAGGTGGCTCATCAGGAACTGAAATGAAACAGAAAACACAAGAGAAATCACACACATTCAATAGACATGGCTGAATTACTTTATTATTACTAATCTGGCTACCTGATAAACTAAAGCACCTAGAAACTAAGACACTCTAAAAGGTAACGTAATCAATCTGATAATTGATTCAATCGATAAGAACAGATTGAGTGTTCAAAGGTGGTGGGAGTGCAAAAAGACACAACATTTTTTTTTGTCTAGAAGATGTTTCTTCAGCAGTGCAATTACATTCTATTTCCATTAGACCAAATTCTAATTCCATGGTTAAAGTTTAACTTAACCCTAAAGTTTTTTGGTTGTTTGTCCCTCACAAAAGGAGACATTTTTTTTTATGAAGGAACTGCAATCCGGCCCACTAAGAAATTATTTATCACCCCAAAAGACAGAAAAAAGTGTAGTGTGTCACTAAGAAAACAAATGATTAAGAAAAACATACCAGCAGTTTTTCTTATGTCAATGTTTTACTTTAAAACACAATAAACACCTCAGAATTATACAATTACAAATACATAAAACAGCAGCATGTGTCCAGACAGCTGTGCTGTATTTGAACAGGTGACTAACATTTTCTCAAGCAAGTCTAGGATTGTTCAATCTTTTTCTTTTATCTGCTGTTATAAACACAAGTCTTGATGCAATCTTGATGAACAGAGATGCCTGATGTTTCAACAAAGCATATCCTTTGTTCTTTTTAATAATAGTAAATTGCTGCCAAAACCCAAATAAAGGGAAGCGGATCATTAATATGAATATGAAGCATCTATATATGCATGGTTAAAATGCTGACTGCACAAAGAATTGTGCCTTGAGTTTTATTTATTTAACAACGAAAACCAATATTGCATATTATCCGAATCTGTACTCACCATCTTGTAAAGTTGTAATTGCATCAGTCTCTGCACTATAGGGACTGTCTCCAATATCATTAGTTGACATCATTCTCAGCTTATATGAAGTGAATGGTTTCAGCCTGAAAGATGACAAAATCCAGGTGTTATTTTTTCTAACACTTTTTTCCAATTATTTTTGCTATATACCCACATAATTTGGAATCCCCAGCAGTGTGTTTTCATGTTTCGGCTCACAGCAATAACCTTTGCAACCACACAAGGGGAGAAAGAGGAAGAGTTGAGAGACTCCTTTAACCAGTCCACCTGTCACTCATCTTTTAACACATCAGAAGCTACTGTATGCTTCCTCGTGCACAAGGTTCAATGACAACTGGAGGAGAAGCACGTCTGTCACTTATAGCACTGCACGCCTGCAGGAGTCCGTGTAGTTGCAGAGGTTGCTGGGAGCTGACAGAATCCTGGCTGACTAATCCCAACTACACCGTCAGTGTAGTCAGTCAACTGTGTGCTGTCATTTGGGAAATACCAGTCAGTGGCAACAGACACCTACATTATAGAACCCAACCTGTGCTTGGATGAGAAAGTTTATTGGCTGAGTCATTCAGGAATCCAGATGTTAGGTTTCAAATACGTTTTATTTTCACAGCACAGAATCACTTGGGTGAACCTCTGGTGCATAACCATGGCATTACATTTTTGACTTTCCTAACAGACTATTAATATTAAGCTACCACACTGGAAAAAGAATACAAACCCCAGAGAAATCTAGCATTATTAACTAGCATATGTAAGAAAATAATTTAAAAAGCAGCCAGCAGCCATATCACTCTGCAACTCACAACTGGCAATCCACTGAAGCTCAGCACGTGTGAATCTGGTCAGTAGCTGGATGGGAGACCTCCTGGGAAATACTAAGGTTGCTGCTGGAAAAGGTGTTAGTGGGGCCAGAAGGGGGCACTCACCCTGCGGTCTATGTGGGTCCTAATGCCCCAGTGTAGTGACGGGGACACTATACTGTAAAACAGGCACCGTCCTAGTGAACCTAGTTTTGATTTTTGATTTATTTAAGAAATAATTCCTAGAGTAGGAGTGAGTTTACAGAAACCAGACAAAACCATAAGATGACAAACAATATTCTGTAACCTTCGCAGAAACTATAACTAGAAGTTATTGTCATTTTCCTTTGGGAATACAGCTACTTTGTGTAGCCAAACTACACTATTTTGTAATAATAACACCTTATTTACAACTAGTTTCATAATAATATAGGAGTCTTAAACTGGCACAAATATAACTGCATTTGATCTATATTTACAGTCTTCAGCTATTTAGTTTTTAATTTAGGATTTGAAATTCTATATACTGTAAATTGACTTCCATTTACTGTATGATTGGACGGAAGAATACTTCTGAATCAAATTGTCCTGAATGCTTTTCAATATTGTACAATGCCTAAATAATTCTAGCTATCTGTTATAGTCCAGGAAAGAATAAAGAACTCTGCTCAGCTAAAAGCCTCCTGACAATTTTAACCATCTACAAGGTTTGATTGAACCAATAACAAATCAGAATGAACAGAAGAAAGGTCTTAGACCCCAATCTTATATAAAATGCTGGCAGTTAATGTACTGTATATGGCATTTACACACTGGGCTTAAAACCAAACTGAGGAACATGCATAGCGGTTTGTGTTAATTCTGGAGAAGAGGTAGACGGCCACTTCTGAGATGTCAGAGATAGATGGATAAAACAGCGCTACAGCACCAGTAATTACTTAAATCCCATTTTAATTGCCTATGTATCATCTTAACCTTCTCAGCTATTGAAAACAGACCTGTTTGTGAGAACACATTGATTGGTTTTGCAACTGCAGAAGGAAAGTTTTACAAGATTCTGTCAAAAACACAACTAAGCTTCTAAACTTTGACCTCCATTGAAACAAATTTGTTTGAGATTATTTATCTGATAGATGTACTAAATTAATGAAAAAGGACAAAAAGGAGTGGATCATTTATAATTATCAAGACACAATAGTCATTTAAAACATTATTAATGGCTTCACAGTACATGTTAAAGAAACACTGGACCATTTGTATGCTACCTACATTCCCAATTACAAGGAGTTTAATACTTCATCACTGAGGGGAAACCCTTCCATCCCTGTGTGCTGATGTGTGCTGCTTATTAACAATAAGTTCTACTGAGGGAATAAAAAATATGAGGTTTAGAGGCGCTAAGAATACAACAGTACATGGTCGTCTAAGGTTGCACTTGAGACAGCACAGTTTTAGCCACAGGCAATGAACATACGTATTCTCAGTTACTGGCAGCATGTTAGGAGCTACATCTACTATACGCAGCTCATTTGTACACTAAAGCACTGTTTCCATACTTCTTTTTTTCTGAAAGATTGTTTGTTCTCACGTACAGTATATAAGTCTTGGTAAGAGAACCAATAAACTCTATGAAACATTAATAACACACAAACAGGAGTTTAAAATAAAATAAATGCAAAGTTTAGTACTTACCCTACACAAGCTTCTTATTTTTATCAGTTGTACTATTTATGGAAATAGCATAATATGATTAATTAAGAAATGCTATAATATCACCATAATCTTGATTAAGGACCTGTATAGGTAACCAGAGGCTGTGTATGCAATGCTCAAAAAGTAAGATGACCTATTCAGACAACTGTTTTGTGATCAAAGACTTCTGGGACACAAACAGTACACATACCCCCCCCCCCCCATGGAAAAAGACAGTGGGTACTGCGCTGTTTCACATAGTTGTATGCCTTGTCCTTCAAGGCATGCAAGCTTTTACATACAAAAATAGTGGTCATACAGTATTAAGCTGCTGTGGCTCTCTCTAGTGTCATATTCACTGGAATGTGCTTCCCTTGATCTGCTTTGTACATGTGTCACATTTTAATACTCCATGGGTCACAGAGGTGCTCGGAGACACCACCTAAGTGCATGAGAATCCTGCAGATACAGGCAGAGGCTCACCGGTCGATCTCCCAGGATGTGCTGTTGTGACTGATGGCAGAGGAGTGGGTCTGCCAGTTGCCATCAGGGAGCTTTTTGGTCTGCACTGTGAAGTAGCGCACAGGCGAGGACCCGTCCCCTCCTGGGATCCAGCACAGCAGCAGACTCCTGGACTGTACTTGCTCCTGGGGGACAGAGAGCTGCTTTGGGGGCTGCGGGCGATCTACAGGAAAACAGGAAGGGTAAAGAAGCATTAAAAGATGCAGAACCATTTTTTTAATATCTAAACTGAACATAATATTGTAACTTATCACAATACTGTATATTCATGAAATATAGACCATTCATGAGACCATATACTCATGTACATGTTTTAAAACAACAAGGATAGTTGACAAAAGACCATGCAACTGGTTCAGTGATTTTGAAATGAATACTGTCCAAGAGCAATATCAAGTCATGTGCTCCTAGATCACTGGCTATCATGTGCCTAGGCTATTAGTTCAGTACACTCTGAATTGTAATCTTCTTTCCTTTCTGCACTGAAAAGCGCTTGCCTATTGCAGTAAGGATAGTGGATCTCTGGTCTTTGTTCTTTCTGTACGAGGAGGCTATGTGGGCTATATGGGTCAGCTAAACACCGTGCTTGGCAACATACAGTACTTTGCTGTTGAAGAGTCTGTGCTAATGTAGTGGATGGTTACACAGGTAACTCTCACAAGGGCTGGGCTCCTCTCCAATCCCAGCCTTGCCTTTCACGTCTCAGTCCCTCATCACAACATTGCATGGCCTTATTGATTTTAATAGAAAAACTCAATAGAGAGAGGCATAATTGTTTAATTTTAAATGCAGACTTTATTGATTGTGATTAAACGGGCAGGCTGTGTAATAAAACAGGTATTGATTGGACACACTCTTGGTGACCTGCCTCTGAAGAGCTTTTAAAGCCTGATTAATCAGCATTTATTTCTCAGTGCTCCCATTTTTTATTAGTATTTTTCTGCTCATGAAAATGTGAACTTTAAACATGTGCTACTAGGGTGTATAATCAGTTATTACTTCATGGTGATAATTATTTTATTTCTGTAACACTATACTGAGATTTCTGACATATACAAAGTTCTGCTGGTTTAAATGGCAATCATCAGAGAGCTAGAAGGCATAGTGCATCAATTCGATAGGGTAAGAGGATTAATCCCTTTAAGTATCTTTTGTATTCAAATGCTTTACAGAGTGACTATAAAACCAGAGTGCGCAAACAATATTGTAAAATTTAGTGTTGAATACTTTTGAGGGAAGTGCTTTAAAAATGTAACTGCAAACAGTGACACTGTATTCCGAACTTTAACTACTGCAGCTGTGTAACCTCTAAGAGTGGCTTTTTTCAAGTGTGCAAAACGAACACGCACTTAAGAACGTTCCATTCAGCGCATAACAGTAATAAAAAATATAACCTCTTTTTCCCTTTATCTTTCCACAAGGTAATAAGAAGCTTATCTTAACTGACTAGACTCTTGTGTATGCTTATAACTACAAAGGTACAAAACAGACTACAAATGTGATCTTTATAAACAGACTTCTCATGACATGTTTCTGTTATTATACTTTGGCATTATTTTTGCTTTTTACAAACACAGCACTATTAGGTTGCATGAAAACAGCTATATAAAATGTATTATATTGAATTAACTTGACAGTCAAGAAGACTACAGGCTTTCTGAATATTTGTATTTCATAAAAAAACACTGCAGGTTTTACCATAATAATATTTAAATTATGTCCCAGAGCTGAGGAGTTTTCTTGATACAAAATATTAGTGAGATAAATAACAAGCTTTACTTTACTTTAAGGCAATAATGGAATTATAAATAACCCCTTAGGACTACATTAAAGAAAAAATGTTTTTTTTGGACATGGAACATCAAAAGAAATTTATCACTCGTAACTGACAAGAAATTCACAAAGATATTATCAGGAAGTGACAATCATTTTGTAGCAGGTGCACTGACATTTTATTGAACAGGTTTGACATAGGTAAATTCATTATACTGATTAACATTTATCATTTGCAGGGCTGATCAACAGCACATCTGCTGTGAAAGACACAGGCTAGTAGCATGCATGATGAGTGTTAGAACTAACATAAGGCACGTTTTTCACTACATTGCCAATGCTTTTGTGTGGGATTCTCTCCTATTCCTCCTGTAGAACCTGGGCAAGCGAGTAACCTGTTCATTGGTCTCTGACCCCTAGGTGCTACATGTTTACAAACTCATCCCACAAACGGTTAATGAGTGCATGTCTGGCAAGTAGGGCATCAACAGCACAAGCCAGTTAGGTATCACAAGAAAATAGTAGATACACAAGCAGCATGAGGACTGTCCACTGGAATATTGGGTATCAGGAAGAGCAGCAAGTGACATTTCAGGGCTTGATCAACATAGTCCCATGCAGTCAGGCTAGGTTTTATCACTACAAGAGGTATTCTGTAGTGACTAAACATTACAGCCCAGACCATCACACTTGATCCTCCACATTGACTAGTCTGTTGTGCAAAACAATAAGTGTAGCCATCAGCTATCAGGTTGATCTATATTAAACCTTTATTCCATGCTGAAAAAAAGAAGAAAGAGAACACAACGTTTCGGCCGTGGAGCCTTCTTCAGACGTGAAGAAGGCTCCACGGCCGAAACGTTGTGTTCTCTTTCTTCTTTTTTTCAGCATGGAATAAACCTATAACTTGTTCCTTTGCAGCCTACGCATGCTGACGCAGCTACCCACCTGATATATTAAACCTTAATCCATAACTAACGAGATCATGGCTTCATTGCTATTGAGGTCTTTAGAAGTAAGGAGACTGGTCTTGTGATGAGCATGAACTGATTGATGCAGGGTATATTGGATTTTTCTGTATTTTTTTTCTTAGATTTTCACCAGTTTATCAACTGTCAAAGTCAATCAAAATCATACTAATAACAATTGAGTTTTCATAATATATATATTATTGCCAGCAGCCATATCACCCTGCAACACACAACTGGTAACCCACTGAGGCTAAGCAGGTGTGAAACTGGTCAGTACCTGGGTGGGAGACCTCCTGGGAAAAACTAAGGTTACTGCTGGAAGAGGTGTTAGTGGGGCGTCTAGAGTGGAATGTCTAGAAAAGCGCTATATAAGTGTAAGCAATTATTATTATTATTATATATTTTCTAGAAATATACATGCATAAATCGAGTGCTTTGTTTCTTTTGATACTCTGTATAGTCAAAAATGTCTCTTCGATGTGTGCAAAACAAGTTCTAAACCCTGTAACATCACATTCTAACAAAGTATTTTAGACTATACAGTGAATCCTAATCTAAATGATTGAAATCTCAGGATTCTTCATGTGAATTTTAAGTTAGATACTTAGAAAGCACGAGCACATATATTAAAAAAACCTTTCTTTTTACATATATTTTAATCATCTAACTAAAGAAAACGTGAAACAAAACAATTTAAAAAATCCTGTTTGTTTTATGTCTCTCAGTGATACAGATCTCACATGATCATCTTCAAAAGAACAATGGGCTGACAAAGGGATTTGTAACAGCTCTACAATGTTAGCTTTGTTTGGATACCACTAAGTCAATTATGAGCTATGAGTTAATGTCAAAATGTACATGTGTGTTTGGAGTGATCTTAGGGAAGAGTAGATGTGTGGCTGCATGAGCCGTGTCACCTCGTTTCTCTGTCGTTATCACCACTGCCTGTGCTGGTGACCCCCAGCCTTGCTGAGTCTTGGCAGAGATGCGGAATACATATGCCGATTCTGGGGCAAGCCCTGTCACTGTGAACTGTCTGGCGTTGGAGCCCACTTCCACAGTGATGAACTTGTTAGGGTCGCTCGCAGCCAGCCTGTAGGCTATCTGGTATCCTGGAAAACCAAACAAAGAAGGCAAATTAGAGATTTCTCCACAGCGTTCTTTTTAAATCTTATATCTATATAAAAATCTACAGTAGTTCTAGTTTCCTATTCTGTTTCAAACTCAAACAATACAGTACTGCAAAAAATAATGGTAGGTTCTAAGGCAAAGACACCTCCTGAATATTGATGATAACATCTCAATGCCTCAATAGCAATAATCCAATGTACAAATGATCTGAACTATAATTTGTAATAATCATTTATTTGCAAGGAACATATTACAGCCGATTTAACTTGAGAATGATTGAAATGATGAAAGGACAGTGAACCTATTTAACGCAACACAAACCAATCAGTACACTTTAACGACTGATCCAAAGTTTCTTCTTGTGTACTGTGCAGTTTAATGAAATAAACTGTCCTTGCATCCACTGAAATTGGCTGCACACCCCCACCCCTGTTCATACTATGCATACTCTGTTGCTTTGTCATGAACATGTACACGTTTTGACTTAGACTAACATTTCATTAGAATTAAGTCAATTTTCTGACAGGCAGCTGTGTCAAAAATGAATGAAGGTTAAGTGGCTAATGCCAGCGAAGTGTGGACAGTTGGCTCAGAAAGAAAACCCTTTATCTTTTCTGCAGGGAATGAAATGTCCTGTAATTCAGTCACGCCGGATCTGAGAGAATTACCATACCCCCATGGAATGTTCTGTTTATCTGTAGGATGGTGCTTCAGTTTCAGATATTATTTTTTTCCAAGCTCTTGCTGTACAGTATTACCCCTTTAGCTCTACAATTCAAAAGTAGGCCATTATCAGTCCTGGAAACAATTCTACTGAAGATCAAAAATCTCACTAAAACTTTCTTGCACTTGAAGTCACAATACCTTAACAAAATGACTATCACTTATTCTGCAGTACTGTGGTAGAGCATTTAATGGATTAGTTTTTATTGCATTGAAGTTGCTCAAAAACAGGCCCATCACCTGCAAATATACATCATGTTTCATTCAAAGAACCTCTAAATTCAAAGATTCACTACATAAGTACTGCACATTAAATACTGAATGCACCAGCAGCAGCACTCCATATCCCACATCCAGAATGTAGAATGTGGGACCATACTGTATATCTGAGTATTACAGGGTTCCAAATAAGTAATATTAAATACAGGTGATAGTACAGCTAGATCTCAGTGATGCCAGGGAAAGGAGTGCAGAAGCTCATTATGTAGCATGAAGAGTTCTTAGCCATAGGAAGACCAGCCAACCTTACCTTTTTTTCTGCTGCTTCAAGAGGCCTAGATAGTAGCAATAATTTAGCAAGAGTGCTGCAGAGTTACTAGATGAGAGCAAGGAATATCCTTGTTTAAACAAGTGGAAAAATAATTGATGTCTATGAAAAACAGAAGAATGAGAAGGCCATGTCTTCTATCCAGGTGGATGCTGCACATTGGTGGTGGTGGAGGGGAGTCTCCATTACCTGTAAAGAGCTTTGAATGGAGTGTCCAGAAAAGTGCTATATAAGTGTAGGCAATTATTATTATTCTATAGTAGAGATTTAAAAAACACTCTATGTTGATACCTGTTTATAGTGCAGTTAGATTGATACTGATCTTTTTTATTACACTGACATTTGAAATGTTTCTAAATAAATGTTCCTCTGAAAAGAATTTCTTGGCATGCACTGGCTAGATCTTCTTCTTCTCAACTCAGGAATTCAAGAATGTAAGGACTCAAATGTGACTGCGGTCACAAATGAAGAGAGTTTGACTTTCTCAGCTTAGTTCCCCGTGAGAGCTGATCCACTGCTCACAAGCAACACATGACTGATCACTTTCACAGGCAGTCTCAAGATAAAAAGCTAAGATTGGTAATGGAAACAGAATTGCCCTCACCTGCTGAGTAGAAGATTCTCTAAAGACAAGAAAACTGCAGGGAATGAGAGGTTTGTTGTATCTGTTCTGGGTACAGGAGGGGACTGCTCAATAGTACCTTTCTACAAGATTAAGCATTAAAACAAAAACAAACACAAATATAATCTGCTCATTTTTACCTGTAAATTCCATTTTTAAATGAAAACTTATTAAATACAAACAGGAGAGAAGTCAAACTATTTCAATTTCCCCAATTTACCTTCAGGATCAATAAAGTCTTATCTATCTAATTTAACTCTTTACATGAAAACCACTATTTTGTGTCTGCCATAAGTAAATTAAATGAAAGAAAAGCTGAGAAATAAATTCCCCCTATGAAATAAAATCTACGTTAACTGGCATTTTATGTCCAGAAAGCTTTTTTAACTCACATCAAAAGCATAAAAGCTATTTGATTTAACTCTAAATTAGTTTTTATTTATCTCCAGTGATCTATCCCATTCTGCAAAAATGCACTGAAATGCTTCTGTGACCAGTAGATTGACCTATGGATGTCAGATAACAAAGCCTTTGCTGTATTTCTTTTTACAACAAGTACTTTGCCTTGGCTTTTTGATCAAAGCTAATGTTCTTAACCAAATGAACTTATATTTGCACCAATTTTAACAGCTGGCTATTTTACTGGATCAATACAGGTGAAGTACATTGTTTAAGGGTCCAACAGCAGTGTTTCACCTAGGATCTAAACCCACAACCTCTCAGAAGGTTGAACCACAGCTCCACAATCCTCTCCTAAGAAACATATACTGTATGTAATTTTGCTTGCTATAGGTATGCATACAGTGTTAGAATGTACTATAAGACAATAAGAAAAACAGTCATTGTGGTGAATGATAAGAACTCAAAGAAGGTTACAAATGAAAGGAGGCTGCAAATAGCTAGGGGTCTACTTAAAGAGGAAACGAAATGGTAGTAAATAAACCTGGCAGCAATCAGGGCACCAGACATTATAAAATATACTTAGAATGAAAGTTGATGGAAGTGTTTAATAGCACTGCAGATGATTATTCATGATCTATCCCTATAAAGAAAAAAACATTGCCACATTTCAATATTCAACAGTTAAAGTTTCTTTGTCAAAAAGAAATGCCATTATCATAAATCACTGAAAGGCACCCGATTGCATTTATTTTCCATATATGGTAAAATAAAACACTAGCTAATGTACTTTTGATTTTCTCCTATTCCAATCCTAATGCAGCAGACACCCTCATAGTATAAACAGCAAATGGTGCACTAGTACGTGAATACATTTTCACCTAGAAATTCATCCTTTTTCCCCAACAGTTTTATATGTGGATTAAACAGTGTCAAATCACTGTGCATTTTTTGTACTCGGAGGACTGCATTTGAGCCAGCATCGCGATTTAAACACTTTGAAGTTGGATTCAGTCTTGCATGAAATTTCCTGTTTAGTTCTCATTTTTTCTCTCCCTTCCTCTACCCCTGTGCTTTGTAGTTCAGCAAAATGTCTCTTTAGAATTGAAGCTGGGGGCAGGTTTAAGCAGGATTATTCCATCTGCAGCAAATTCAAAAGCAAACCTCAACTACTCTCTGGTGACATTAATGGTCAGTGTTTGCAGACGTTTGAAAAGGCCTCATTTTCAATGGCTCCTGAACAAGATTGCATTCTGAACCAGTGTATGGAAGAAAATGGGCTTACAAGACTTGGGAGTTAAATGCCTTTGCTACGGTGCATTTAAGAGAAAAATCAAGCAGAGAGAAACATAAGACAAGTAAAACAAACATGTGAACATGACCTCTCCTTCAAAACATTAGGTAATGGGGGTCAACACTATGGTGTAAAACATAAGGGAGAGTTCTGAATTGTGAAACTGAGGCCAAACGCCATTGTGTGGATAGAGGCCAGGAATCCCTCTCCTGACTCTTCATTTCAGTTAAATATGCAATCACAGATGTCAGAAACTGATCCATTTCTTAGTGGAGGAAGGACTATAGTGTATTTCTTCTTTTACTTTAGTTCCAAGTACCCAGGGCTATTATGCTACTAAAGAAAGTGATTTCTGTACATAACTGAAAGTAAAATGTTTTCCTGTTGTATTTTAAAATTGTTTAAGAAGGGAAGACAGGTTGAAGACATTGACTTACTAGACTTTATAGTGGTGACAGAAGTGTTACAATGCAAGATAATTCTTTAGTATCAGAGAGGTCACTTAAGACTCACCAAAATTGCTAACTAAGCAATTGAGAAATAAAACACTAATTAAAAAATAAAAAAGCACAGTTTACAGTCCTAATTTTTCCTGTATACAAAACACCAGAATAAATCATATGGACAACATTTCCACAACACTCACACAAGGGAAGTCATGCATATACTGTACTGTATTTAATGATTTACTGATTAACAAGGTATTGAATTCTGGAAAATATTCTATTGTAAAAGAATATGATTGAATACCTTCTATGGAAGGCACATTTCTGAATAAAATATATAAATGCATATTTCAATCAGTAGCCAACAGATTGTAATTTTTCTCCATCAATCTATCTCTTTAAGCTACATCCAGTAGGGCACAATTTCACAATCACTGAAGGACACATACTGCCCATATTTTACAGCCCACTTTAACATACAGTAGCTAAGAATTACCTACCTGTTGTCTAATATTTTATAAAACAGCTTTATTGCTTAGCTTAAATCAAACTTTAAGAAAACTGTTCCTCCAGGACCAGGACTCCAATTCAGTGAGTATAAAATTGACTAAAACCATAAACCTTTTCTTCCCCCCAGTGTGTTAGGAACATATTTTATCCCACTCAGGTTTTATGCTTTTTTTCCAAGACTAATCTTGAGCAGTACAGAGATTCAGCTCTCTGCTATTCTCTAGTGGTTTGATTCAGCACGGGGTGCCATTCAGTTTAATCATATTACTGAGCTGTGATTTTTTTCTACATCTATGTGAAATGATTCTCAAGTGCACAATGACATGGTGCTGCTGACAGGTTTGTATAAGCAAGCATGTGCTGTTTTGTTTTTAAAAGCATAAGGTCTGACAGAAAAAATGCTGATTCTGTTCTTACTCTAAAAATTTCAAACAGTCCCATTTTGTCAAAATTGGAATTAATTCCAGGTAAAAGAATACATTACATATATTGTTAGCTGTACCATTAAAAAAATACCCAGTACAGGACATTCTGTTAGCTATTGTCATTCCTCTAAAGCTCTATAGATACAGGATGAGTTAGCAGAGGAGGTGCTTTCTGACTTTTTCTTGTCCTTTTACAATTTCTTTAACAAAGATAACACTTTGAATTAACATAAAGACAAGGCTTGCTGAATATGAGGTGTCTTTTCACTTTTCTCTGTATTCATTGCACATTCTCACTGCCCCAGTTGGGATATGTAATCTCCAAAAAACTTTTCTCTGAGCCAAGTTACCGAGGCTTGTATTCCAATTATGCTACAAAAAATGATTGCTGAGCATTCCATTTATCTTTGGAGAGGGATGCACTGCAAATGTATAGCTGGGTAGTGATGCAGTACAGAGGGCAATTTGTACACGACATGTTTAGGTGACATCCAACGTTTGATGAGGTATGAGTGGGAGTTCCATCCCTCATGGTTCCAACCTCTTGGCTATTCAGAGGTATGAGCAAAACAGGTGTGGAACATTAATGAAAACAGGCTCCCCTGACATGGCAGGGTTTAGAGCCAGAATAAACTAATGTACGTCTTACCCATGATAATTCCATTGGGGTCCACAGGAGGCTGCCACACTACTCTCACCGATGTCAGCCTGACCTCTGGAAAGACCAGCCTCACAGGTGGTCCTGGAACTAAAGGGAAAGAAAGACGACAATCAAATATCACTTTAGAGTTCTAAAAAAAAGAAACACTTCACCCGTGTACAATATTGTAATCTAGGTGCCAGTTTTAAAGGATTTTGTAATACCCTAAAAATAAGAATATTCTTTCATTGAGTGAAGAATTTACATAGCTAATCATTATCTGACAGTACAGCCCAGAGCATACGTGATACAACGTGCTCTAGTGAAATTTAAAAGAAGATATACACTTGATTGCATGTTTTCTTATGGATGCATTTGTATATTTATAAATCCTTCATGTGCCTCTGAATGTTATAAAAAACATAAATTAAAATATATTACTATGCAAACCGTCTTACTATGTTAACCTTCTCCAGATTCAGATTTAAGGAAAATACATATTGTATATTTCAGTTTAGGTTCGCAAACAGAATAAATAAACATCCTGAATAAATTGATTTTACAAATAGATCCAAGTACACAAATTATGCCAAACAATTTATCATTTTGACATGTGCTCTGGTCTGACAATTATGGATTTTGGTGACAATAAACAATTTAATATTAACAATTCAGTTTAGAATGTATGAAAAATGGGTGCTTTTTCTTTGTCATGGTATCTTAGAACCTGTGAGCATGTTTCCTCTTACTACAAGGCACACAAGCATTTTCTTGCAGGGATTTACCTTTTCTTTCTGTCAGTCTTTCTCTCTTTCTAGTCGTATATAGACATTACGAATGGTTGAAAATAGTACAACTCATTAGCTTTTTTACACCTACTATAAAGTGCATTAAAATGCTAATTTTCAAAGGTGTCATCTACAGTATTTATTACTATTATGAGTTCTTCAGTTTAGAAAAATATCCACACAGCCACAGATTATTGTAACATGCTAGTTAAAGTTTTTTTTAAGAAAATTTAGTTGTTTTCTAACTATCCCTTTTTGAGTCAAAACATGCAACTCTCATGGTTAAATTCATATGAAAAGAAGCTGGTGCATTCCTACAAGTACTTAGGGGTACACCTGGATGATAAACTGGAGTGGACTGTAAACACTGACGCCCTGTACAAGAAAGGTCAGAGCCGACTCTATTTTCTTAGGAGCCTCAGGTCCTTTGGTGTATGTGGAACACTACTACACATTTTTTATGAATCAGTGGTGGCAGTGGCCATCTTATACGCTGTTGTGTGCTGGGGCAGCAGCATCATGGCAAGAGATGTAAACAGACTCAATAAACATCAAGAAGGCTGACTCTGTTCTGGGGCTGACCCTTGACCCCCCTGGAGGTGGTGGCGGAGAAGATTGCTGACCAAGCTCACAGCCATCATGAACAACGGCTCTCATCCCCTACATGGGACTGTTATTAGAAAGCGGAGCACTTTTAGTAACAGACTGCTCCAGCTACGGTGTTCAAGGGAACGTTTCTGTAGGTCCTTCCTTCCGGCGTTTGTCAGGGTGTATAACACTGCCCTAGGCTAGGACTGCTAGCCCTTCACCTGCTCATCTATGGACAGCGTGTTACACTAATGTACATACTGTAGTACTTTCAATCTGTATTTACCTATGTGCATTTTGCACATACTTTATTGTTTTACAGTGACTCTTAGCATATTTTGCACACACCTTACTCTATTTATTTATTTTACTTTGTATTGCTGTACCTATTTTAATTTTTAGTCTATTCTGATGTCTGTTTTTACTTGTCTTGGGCTGGGCTGCTGTAACACCTCAATTTCCCTTTGGGATCAATAATGTCTTATCCATCTATCTAAATAAATGTGGGGAATAAAAAGGGCTGATTTTTTTCCAAAGACTTAGTAATAAAAAGACTCTGCTATTAGACTGTGAGCATTCGTGTGAAAATTAACTATGGAGGTTTATCCTTGCAAAAATTACTTTTCCCTGTAACAAAGTAACCATGCTTTTGATCCTCAAATCTGTATGTTATTGCAGTAGTGAGTTTCTTTGATTGGACAACTGAACATGTGGGACATTGGGAAATGTACTTTCTTAGTTAATGTATGTAGTTGTATGAGCATAGTAATGGGTTTATTTGAAAGAAAGTTTCATTTCCCAGTACACATCAGGGAATATTTCTAAAAAAAACAATGTACCATTAGAATAACCAATTTCTGGTCAATTTACTGTACATGATAAAGACACCTCTCATGCAATTTAACATCAAACAGTTTTTGCAACTGCTGTCAATGTTTTGAGTGTTTGGGAAAAGTAAAAATTAGTAGACAATATATTTTTTTAGTTTTTAGTTTTATAAACCAAGTTTTCAGATATATAGAAATAAACACTACGGACAGCTAATTTGGAAAACAAGTTATTTGCTAATATTAGTATTAATGGAAATGTGCTGTCATACACTGTCACAACTCTAATACAGACGTGCTGTACAGCACATAATGTAGAAATGTTCTGAGGTCACTAAATAAACACATTATTTTTATATTTTATACAGCACTTCGTAAGTTCTTTGGCCAATTTTTGTTTTAAGTTTGTCGTTATCTTAGATTAGATTAGATTTAGATTAAACATTAAATATGAAAAAAAACATTGTAGTTCTACCCTTTTCTCACAAAAGTCGAATTAATTATACATTTTTTCTTACAGTAAATTTAAGCCAATTTGCAAATGCAAATCAAACAAAAATAGATGTAATTAAAATACTACTAATTTTAGTCATATACATTTATATTTGTCTGCAGTGTCCTTGTCAGTGTAAAACAGCTTTCCATTTGGGCCTGCATCACTCAATACCCTGAACAAATGATGCACAGTTGGAATATCAATTCTCTGGCTGACCAATCTGTCAGCTGTTCTCTTCAGAACACCCCCTGCTTCATCGGGAGCCCCATGATTCAATGAAGCTCCAAGTTCCTGCAGTCACATTTCTTAATGGAACCAAAAATACAATTAGTTTCAAGTTAATAAAGTTAACTTTTATTTTGGAATTTTCTTTATGGATTGCAAAATAAAATTTAAAATAAAAATCTCTTGATAAGCAGCAATCTAGACAGACTAGTTGAAGGCTACAGCTATAATCAAAACACTGTATTCAAACTAGTCATATAACTTTTGTGAAAAAGGTGAAAAAGTAGGATTAGTAAAAAGCTGAAAAAGTAGTTATCCTTCTGGTTCCATTCATTTTAATATATACTGAATACAATTACAATATACAACTGTATATAATTAACATAGTTACCCACTAGCTATAATTGTGTTCTGTGCCTCTGTAATAGTTTGTCAATAAAACTGCTGTGGAATTTCTCTTTTTTTGGCTTCTGAAAATAAATGGCAAAACATAAATCTAGATATCCCAGTCTTTCTACTGTCCTCAAAAACTGCACCTCCCAGAAATCCATGGTTCCGTTTCTTTGCTACTGTATCTGGATGTCCCACCAAACCTTGGTGGTTTATAAATGCTTATATAACTTATATCTGTTGAATCATACTGTATGTTGTTTATGTTCATGTAGGTTTATGTTGAACCTTCCAAGTTTCCATGGGAAACATAGCTAAAATGAGAACACCAAAACACAAAAAATCAACAGTAATGTTTATGAAGATGATGGAGTACTGTTTTGTATCCTATTTTTAATTTTGAGCTACAACAACCAGCTACTGTATATAAATATATCTGTATCCTCAGTGGTCAGCAATTTGTGTGTGGAGTTCAATACATCTCTGAAATGTTTGGATCATATAAAAAGCATCTGTAAGTGTTAATATTTAAATTTGGAAAATATTTCCCAGCTAAGGTCTTCTCTCAATTTTGCAGACGCTAAAAACTTAATTCATGCCTTCATTTCATCTCACCTGGACTATTGTAATGCTCTCTTTTGTGGTCTGCCCTCAAGTATTTCTCCTGAACAGTGCTGTCAGAATATTCACCAGAGCAAGGAAGTCAAACCACATCATCCCTATTGCAGCAAAGATCCACTGTCCTTAAAAAAGTGGATTTTAAAGTACTGCTCCTGGTTTTTAAGGTTCTATGACCCTGCACATTAGTCTTCAAGATCAGGTCAATTGAGTCTGCTGCAGGTCCCCCAAACCAAACTACTGTACATACTATGGGTAACTGTGCTTTTCACTTGTGGAATAGCCTCCTCAATCATCTCAGACAAGCAGTTTCAACTGAAACCTTTGATAGACGTTAAAACCCTTCTCTACCAGCAAGCCTATCAACTTTCAGTATTACAAACTGATTTCCTATCTTTTGCCTAGTAATTTTTAAGTTCCTTGACTTCTCTTACAAGCTTTTTTATGTGAAGCACATAAGATTCACTGTAATGAAATCACTTGACTCACTGTAATGATATGTGCTATAGAAAACGTTATATATTATAATACTCATCAATTAATAGTTAATCATGTTTGGCAACATTATTATATTTCAGTTATTTTTTGTTTTCAGATACCAAACCTCTCATTAGTTATGTGATTCCATATTAACTGACTTTAAAGAAGTAAGCTTCCAGTACATAAATGTTACAGTCCTGTACTTTGAAGTACAGTACCATACATAATGGTCTGATGCAAGAGTTTTCAACCTAACGGATCCAGGGTTGATCCAAGGTATGTACTGTAATACCCTTTTTTAGATAGCCACACTTTCAAATGATAGCTTGGCTATGTATTTTAAATATTTATCTAACATATAAAATATGTATATTTTCAATATAATATAATATAATTATTAGAAAATACAGATTAAATGAAGATACAGTTTAAGTAACATCTAACACAAAGCAAGTGCCCCCTACTAATCTTCTATGGCACAGTGACCAGAACTGTAGTATACTGCAGTATATTTTTCCTCTGAGGAATTTTGATGTGCATTCTAGATGTCTGTATCTGTATATATCTACTATAGAGTGTATATATATACAACCGAATCATTACATTTCAGACACCCCCTGAATCCTTTGACACAGTTCTAACTGAAGATTGCAGAATTCAGTAATAATGCATTTCACATTGTAGGTTATTCTGCCA